ACACGGAAGACCGCTGAAATGACATTGTCGTACGTCCGTACATATTTCGTATTTGCCATTTCAGCGGTCTTCCGTGTTTTTCATACAAGCTTCCCATATAGATGGTATTAAAAATCGCGAAAAATGAAAAAAATTATTAAATTTTTTTTCTTCGATTCTCAAATACTACTCAATTTTCTGTATCACCTGGTGAAATCAGAATGAAAAAAATCGCATTCCATATTATCTAAATCACGATCTGGACTTTTTTCACTGTTTAAGTGCTCTATACCGAGTCTCCGAGAGTTTCATATAAACTTGCTATTTGATGCCCATTGAATAGTAAGCGAATACCAATCGTAATTGAATCAATAGGCGTCATTTGGCTGTTGCAAGGCGAGTTTATATAAAACACATGGGATGCTTGTGTGAAAAACACAGAAGACCGCTGAAATGGCACTGTCGTACGTCCGGCACTGTCGTCCGCACATATTTTGTATTTGTCATTTCAGCGGTCTTCCGTGTTTTTCATACAAGCTTCCCATATAGATGGTAAAAATTGGAGAAAAATGAAAAAAATAATTAAATTTTTTTTTCTTCAATTCTCAAATACTACTCAATTTTCTATATCACCTGGTGAAATCAGAATGAAAAAAATCGCATTCCATATTATCTAAATCACGATCTGGACTTTTTTCACTGTTTAAGTGCTCTATACCGAGTCTCCGAGAGTTTCATATAAACTTGCTATGTGATGCCTATTGAATAGTAAGCGAATACCAATCGTGATTGAATCAATAGGCGTTTTAATAAAATTTCTATTAACATTCTAATAAAAAATCTACTAACATTATAATAAAATATCCACTAAAATTCTAATAAAAAATCCACTAAGACCTAATAATTAGTAGTTGTTAGTAGCTAGTAAAATAATAATTATTACTTCTTAGTGGCTACTAAGAATTACTAAATAATAAAGTACTAATGGAAAAAATCTACTAACTAATAAGAATTTTTATTAATTATTATTTATTAGTTACACCAATGGAGGATATTACAAATCCGCCATAAAAATATAAACATTCTGTCCAAATATTGAAAATAAAATAAGCATGAAAATTCTAAATATTTTGATTTTTTCTCTTTCTTGTTTCTTTCGATACATACATTAGAAAACGAAACCAATTGAGTTGAAAGAGACGGTCGCAAAATTACCGTTGCACATCGAGTCAAGGTTAACAGAAGCAAATTGTTTTGCTTGATCGATTTTTGCTATACACAGTATTCCGTTGTTCGTGTCATTTTTTGTCACTCATCTCCATTTGACCATAACACATCGCCCATTTACAATGTGTGCACGAAAAAACGGTGCTTTTTTTGTTGTTATGGCATTTTGCATTGTTTATTTGCGTGATTTTAGTTTTGGCGCTATCGAATCCACCATATCAAATTAGATTTATGAATTATTTATAAGCTTCGCGTATTACGTGTGAGCAAGTGATCGTTAGCAACTATTACAATATGGATTTTATGGTATCTGGAATGTGACGTATTTTTTTTTATCAACGATCGACTTGAAAGCGAGTTTCATTACGGAATTTGACGTGATGAAAGACAATCGCAAAGCAAAATAAATGGTCTTACGAACGTAAGACGAACTTTTCCGCACTGTTTAACCGCAGTACACCACAAACGTTTCTTTTTTTAAGCAATGGAATCATTTTTCAATGACATTCAAAAAAATATGTCTGACGTTAATTTTGCCATAGAAATTATTTTTGAAACACTTTTCATAACTAAAGTCACAAAAAATTTGGATTTTTGTATGGGAGCCATGTCTGTATGCTACCTTAATGGTGTGAAACTTTGCACAGGTTGTTTTTTCACAAAAAAATAACATTCGGAGGGTTTGGAGAAATTTCAACCAAAATTAAGAGTACCTCCCATGCGAAATATTCGTTTTTGAGCCAAAAACTGAAAATGTTGTATGGGAGGTACCCCTAATTTTGATTGAAATCTCTTCAAACTTTCAGAATGTTATTTTTTTGTGTAAAAAATAGTCTGTGCAAAGTTTCACGTCATTAAAGTAGCATACAGGCATGGCTCCCATACAAAAATGCAATTTTTTTGTGATTTTTTTAAGGAAACTGTATCAAAAATTGATTGTATCTCAAAACTAACCTCGGATTCGATTTTCTCGTGCCAAAAAAACCCCCAATACATATTTTTGAGTGTTTAAGTCTACATTAAGTATGACTTTTGGACGAAAATTGGACTCTTTTTCATAGGTATCACTACAGGCATGAAATTTTTTCCCATCGACCAAAGTCGCTCAAAAGTTAATGATTTCTATTCCTCGGGGCCCCCCAATCATCCTGTAAAGTCAGATTTTGAATTAAGTTTCTACTATGAGCGCAATCTTGCTAACAAATTTTGCGTACGACGTACAACGTACGACGTACAACGTACGACGTACAACGTACGACGTACAACGTACGACGTACAACGTACGACGTACAGATTAACATAAACAATGCTCAAAACGGCCTAATTCGGGTTCTCTGACCTCAGAAACGTCCAGAAAACATGTTTCTGAAGTTTTCAAAATTTTGACCGATTACAATACTTTTCACCTTACACTATGTGTGCGGAAAAGTAAAAAAAGAAGAGTTTTTATTGCGAGTGTCGTGAGAGCTTGAAATTTCTTCAGAAATTCTTTGACTTACCGCACTGTTATCAATATCATCCGGTACGATGTGTTTTATCTTTTTTGCTATAGCATTTTACAGATCTCTTTCTATTTGATTCATCTAACAAATGTTGAAACTTTCATGTGCTAATTGAAAAAACAAAAATCGCGACCGTGGCGCATTCATCAATTCGTTACTGTCCATCGAATTTCTTTTATTTTACACATCTTTTTTGTTTGTTTTTGTTTCGATGGGTTTTTTTTCGTGTGTGTCGCTGTATTTGGTGTCGGAAAACCTGCGTGCCATTGCAAATTGATTGAAAAATTGTACGTTTCTTTTGCAAGTTGGCGTCAACGTGCAATTACCCTGCCTGGTCTCACGCCGGTGTACTCGCTAATTCATTATATATTTTTATTGCCGCACGACGTGTTTGTTGAAAGAAAGGCGCAGATTTTGCTTGGCGAGAGTTAGAGAGAGAGAGAGAGAGAGAGAGAGAGAGAGAGAGAGACTAGCTTAACAGAATAAATAAATGCACCGACACTTTAATGAGTTGAACAAACCGCGCGAATGTGTATAACAAAAGCAACAGGGCACATTGTGCACGAGACGAGAATTAGAAAAAGTTCATTTCAATTCGAAATGGATTCACGTACGAAGAAGAGAAATGAACTTTTGTTGCGATTGCGCGTGTGCGCCTATGTATCATCGGTATTTTGATTCAATGCGTGTACGTGTGCGCTGTGTGATGGCTTCACATTTATGATTTACCCCGAAATAAAAAAAATCCACAACGGACACAAAGCATTAAGTCATAGGAAATAAAGTAATAAAAATTAAAACGAAAAAAAAATCACCATGTAGATGAAATGAATTGGACATTTTCACTTGTGGAATGGTTCGTAGTAGAAATTAATTTATTTTCATGTGAATGCATTCACTTTTCATCTCATTGATACTGACTGGCATATCGGTTTCTATTTCGCATATTGATTTCATTCATTCGCTCTTATTTTTTTCTATACATTTCGCTACGCACTTCGATTACCAAGAAAAATAATCACAAATTCAAATTGAAATGACAACGCATTCGTACGTAATGTTTGTGGTTGTGCTGGAAGAAATTCAGGCATTCCGATTTAAATTCAATTTGCGACATTCTCATACAAAGGCATTCTTTGAATTATTACATTGAAATGGACGTTGCGATTTGTAATTGAAAAAAAAAAACGAAAACGTCATATTACCCGCAATGCATACCGTATGTATTTCAGTGAGATTCATTTTTCTAATAGTAAAAAAATCATTGGTCGAGCACACGTAAATTCAGCGTAAAATCGCCACAGATCGACCACATATTGCTCAATTCAATGCTGTTGCCGTTGCTATACTTTCAATTGGTGCACCATTTTAAATAAGATCATTTTACGATAAAAATCTGTATTTATCATTATTTTCATTATATTACTTGCACTTATGGCCGTTATGCATGAATGTCTTTGTATATATACAACAAATGTGGGCTTTCGTGTGGCATAGTGATCGAGTTTTCAACCAAACCGATTTGTTCGTACCGACGAAATTCAATAAAATTGATTTAGCACACATTTCAATGAACATTTTTGTTGAAATTCTTCAATTTTTGTTTTTCTCTTTCACGATTAATTTGAGATCTTTTTTTGTCTATTTTGAACCTTTTTTTTCGCCTCAGTTTTTTTTTCTACTTCAATTGAATGAAGTCTTTAACCCGAGTGAAGTCACAATTTTTCTATTGGCGTTGTTTTCATCAAGACATTGGTTTAATTGAAAAAGAAATTCTTATTTGGGCCTTTGATCCATTTCCATTTCGAAATTTAAAGCGAAACAAAAATACTCACACAGAGATTAAGCATAATGCTATTTATTTGGAAAGTAAATCAAATGCTTTAAAACTAATTCCATGCCATTTTTATATCCGTTTTGTTTGGGAGCCAAAGAAAAGAGAGAGAAAAACCCGTCTTTATTGTTATGCACATGCTTTTGATGTGAATGATGTTATTGAAATGATGTGCGCGACGAAGTAAGCTTCGCTTGTTGCATGCTACCGTTCGCATTCGGTTTACAATGCCAAGAACATAGAAAAATGAATAAAGATTCACGATATAATCTGATTTCAATGGAGGAAATGGTAACACACCATAGTTATGATTTTCATCACTTACAATTCTACTTTCTGTGAATTGAATATACGCGCGCTTATGGGGCTTACTTTTTCTTCTTCTTGACAGTGCGCACCCATTTCAACGATAAATTATTACAATAACTTATTGATTTGAAACATGAACTAAAGCTTACCTTTGAATTCGTGCGTTTTAGTATTTTTTGTTTGTTGTGAAGAAACAAAATTATTTCCAGTTGAATTGAACGAGATTTCCACTTAAGCCTAAGTGGTAAAGTGTTCAATCGGCCAATGAATCAAGCTGTAAAAACCAATGAAAATGTTTTTGTGTCTTTTATACTTGTTGCTGTTTTGTTTAGGATTTTCTATCAGCGCCACTTCATATTTATTCAATTTCTTCTTTAACTGACTATCACTACAGTTTTGTTCACTTTGTCTGCGATTGATTTTGTTATGGTTAAATCTTTTTTTTTCCTCTCTCCTCTTCAGTCAGTGTGCATTTTTCTCTCCCGCAGCAACTATATATATTTTCAAATAAAAATTAGTATAATCGCTGAGAACTGTTTGAATTGCAGCCGTTTAATTTATTAGCCTCATTATTGATTATTGCATCGCCTGTTGATGCCATCGTCGATTGATGCTGTTGATTGACGGTACAAGAATTGGCCGACTCGATGTGATACACATCGAGTGGGGCCGAAAGCAAAACGGACGAGAATGGTTTCGAAACAGGAAACACACTGCCGCAATAACAATATATATAAAATGTTGATGGTGCTGGTGCGTGTTTTGCTCGATTTGCTTTCGTCGTCGTTGTCGTCTCGTTGCTTGATCTCGAGATCGGAGATTTTCTTAATGCCTTCACAGCGTTGCTTGCATTCGAGAGAGCCGAGTACCGTGCGGTTTAAATCTCAGTATCGCCTTTTTCCATCATAAAAATGTGGTTTATATACAAAAAATCAATAAAAAAATGAGCATTGTAAACCATTTGGATCGTAATTGAAAATCGTGGTGGCAAATCAATGTATTCATTATTATTTGTAAAAGGTATTTTGCATATGGAAATGGTGCACAGAAAAGCGCAACGAAAGAGACAGAGACAAAAAGTTGATCGTGTTTCATGACACGCTGAGCAAAAAAAAAATCACCAGGCATCGACGATAAATCCAACATTAGCTCCGGCTTTTTTTTTTCGTTGTCTTATAAATGCATGGAAATTACTAAAACAATATCATTTGAGAGATTTGTGCAAGTCTTGAAGGAGAAATGAATTCAATGAAAGCGATTTGCGTCTTTCGACAATGTAAATGCAGTGTGTATATGGAGCGCCAAAGGAAAATGTTTTCTTTCTATCACCTGCGAGTGTGAGTGTGCATGTGATTTGGATTGTTTCCACAAGACATGACATTCTATGCAATCGTTAAAAATTTTGTGCGCCAGATTCTACCATGAGGTTGTTAGGCGTATACGATGGTGTGAATGAGGTGAAACACACTATAAAAGAGAAGAGAAAAAAAAAACAGAAAAATATAAGGCACCATAAAGATAGATCGGTTTTCTTCCTTTTGGCGAAATTCAATGGCTTTCGGTTTCAATGCATCAATGAAACAATTTAAAAACAAAAATAAACTATTTTTTTTTATTTACTGATTGTGTATGCATAACATATGCCATTTCATTTAGAAAGGGTTGAGCAGCTGAACCGAGTCCAATAAACTGCCTACAGAAATATAGACGTTTTTCTTTGCTGAAGACATAAAAAAATATACAAAATAACTGCACTGCATAGACAACGAGCTACAGAAACAAACAGTTCAAGAGTGATATGCGGTACGGAATTTTTCATAATACATATGAATTATTTTCGTTTTTTTTCTCTCTGTAAATTAATTTGTGTGGTTTTACATAACAATGTCGGTTTCACCCGAAAACCAAAGCGCTTTGCAAAGTGTGAAACACTCGAAATTTTACCAAACCAATTGCAATCTCGTCAAACTAAAACCTTGTTTGAAGTTAAAAGTGGCGTTTTAGCGTGAAAAGACAAAAGTATCAACTTTTCGAATCCATCACACGAACAAAAACACTTGGCTTTTATGTAGGTGCCTCACAAATTAAAGACGACAAAAAAAAAACACAAAATAACTGCAATGAATAACGAATGATTTCAATTATTTAAAAGTGATGTGCCGTGTGCTTTTTTTTCTCTTTCATTCGCCGTTTTTTTCTCTCTCATTTACTTCGTTTAATTTTCGGCAATTATGGATTCAATTTCTCGCATCAAATGTTTATATCAAAAAAAAATCCATAGAGCATAACATTTAACTTTGATTTTGACTGATACAGTTTATTTTTATCGTTTCTTGTTGTTCACTTTAAAAATACATGCAATTTTGATTGTTGTTGTTGTCTTTCACAAATGCGCATGTTCGTTCATGTAGAGATTGAAAAAAAAAACTCTTTTCATTTGCAGTCAAGGAAACTCATTTGATTTTTATGTTTTTTGTCAAAATGTTCATTTCCTCATAAGTCATCTGCTTTGATCGATGGTATTAGTGTCATTCTCTAAGCTGTTGAAATGAAGAAAGACTTTTTCTTCCGTTCGTAATATCACTAAATCACATTTGTGCCTCGATGATCTCAAGTGTCAATCTATTAAGAATCTTCCGGTTTGATCGAATAATGTGAGCGCGTGTGTTTTTCGAAGAAAAAAAAAACTTTCGAGTTTTGCATAATATTTCTCACTGCAAAATGTTGAACTGAATTCATAACCGACGTCAGACACCACGCAATACAGTACCACAGAAACAAACAAATAAACAAAAAAAAACGAACAACAAAAGAATAACCAAATCCAAATAATTAAAATTGTGCACAAATAAGTTCCCATAAAAATTATTACAATTCGGTCGGTTATTATGCATTAGATTTTGCTGTAACACACCGTCATTCTTCTCTTCATTCAGTACGGGTTGCCAAATTAAAACCACAAGCACACGACGAGAAATATAGTCAAACAACACAGGCAGCTTTGCTGTCCAAAAATGATCAAGAAAAAAAAAACTCCATGAAACACACACCGCCAAAACTCTCAGCTTCTCCCTCGCTTTTGGCACTTTTCGCTATACTTTTGTCTGGCTTCTAAAAATCTTGACTGTTTTTTTTTTCTTCTTCAAAATTGAAACCGACAAAAATTGAAAATTCAAACAACAAAATTCTGTTACTGGAAATAATAATCGTGTGCGCTCGTTGCCACTGTTGAATGTCAACTGTTCGCCAGTTTGTATGTTCCAGCAGCGGAAAGTGTGCAAAAAAAAACAAGATCGGTTAGCGCGCGCACGAAAGATCGCAACAACAACAAGCGAAAAATGTACTGAACGCTTGAGAAACGTTGTGATAAAACACACACAATAAATGTGTGAGCGCGCGGTGCTCTTGTGTGTTCGCACCACATTTCAACCAGAACACAACAAAGCGAAATGGTTTGCCGAAGTAGCAGCGCCGCTGTTGCTGCGATCGATAAAGGAAAAAGAGTATTTCAACGCAGCCAAAACAATAGAGAGCTAAGAAGTAGTGAAATTGCCGCAACTCAGACTCTTTTTCGCATTTGTTTTAACCACGTAAACGCGTAATGTCTTTAATTTGTGCGGGAACTGATTTTTTTTCTACTTTATATTTCGTTCGTGGAAGCGCGTGATCTTTTATGTGAACGATATCACCAGCATGTGTGAATGAATTTTCGTTTGTTTCGGTTCGGTATGCAACACATGAAATATATGCATGGTGTGACTTTAAAACATTGCAAATGATGATTTTCGACGAATAAAATGCATGAAGTGCCTTGAACTGCATTCATCAATGTTCGAAAGCCAATCAAGACTATTGTTACAACTGAATCAGTCTGACAACGATATTACACAATATCATGCATCCTTACAAAATACACAATCTCTCTCCCTCTCGCTCTCTCTCCCGATCAAAACAAAATCGTAATCAATGCAAAATTTATGGCTTTAATCGTTTCCGTTTATTGTGAGCGACTGTACGGTGCGCGAGATCGAAGAAAAACCATGACTAAATTGTTTGTCTATGATAACCGTTTATCTTGTTTCAAAACGTATCATTATGTGATTTTCTGTTAACATATCGGAAATTTGTTTGCATGTAGATCAAGCATCAGTCCAGAAAAAAAGCCGTATGATCGATATAAACAAAACAAAAAAGCCATCCATTGCATCAATGAAAACGGTTTTTTATAATATTGAAACATTAACCGATCGCAGCTCCTGTGATTTAAAAAAAAATAAAGTGATAACTATAAATTATGCCGTTAAGACGTTTAGCCTATTCGCATTCTTTGAGTTTCAAAGTTTATTTTTCATCCAATCCAGTGCTGAGCATTTGGTGGCACACAAAAGGTGCACTTCATTGTACTAACCCCGCAAGCCCATACACATTCAAATGGGCTGCGTCTTTTTTTTGCTTCTATTATTATTTATTTCAAAAAGGCGATTTTCTTTTCATTCGTCTATTGAGGAACATTCAACTTCAATGTAATTTTGCTTGGGCGACCGACTACGTAATCGAAGTGCCTTTTTTTGCATTGTCCATATTGAATCGATTGTTTCAAATCTCGAGCACATTGTATACAAAGTGAAAAGCGCACGGAAAATATAAAAAAACGACTCCAATAGAATGCGTTGTATATAATGCAAAAGTCAATCGATCTTGTATTTGTTCGATTTGCAAAACCTGTAACAACAAGAAAAAAAGAGCGAAAAAATGTCGCTCGCAAATCTTTGTTTTCCAATTCAATGGTTTTCGATGGCATTTTTTCCCAATGCACACGCGTTCAATCTATGCAAATCGTTGTGTGCCGTGTGATGCGTACACGTTCGAACATGCACCTTTTCGCCACTCTTTTCAGTCAATTTATATTTCGTTTCGTCGATTGTGTGTGCGCGAGTGTGAGCGCACATTTTCGACTCCCATTGAAATGCAATAAAATTATTTAGAGGAAATTTGTCGGCAAATTTATTACTTCGTTATGTGACATTTCTCTCTTTTTTCGATCTCTCTCTCTCTCCGGTCGCATTCAAAATGAAAATGTTACGTTATATGATGCAAGTGCATATGATTGTTTCGGTTTTTTGTTTGTGGAAATTCAATAAAACAACCAAACGGGCAACGATTATGGGGTTTCAATTGAATTTAAGAGGAATTTTGAAATACAATTGCAGAACTATCTACATCATAAAATTAATAGAAATAAACGATTTGTTTGCAATCAAAAAAGACGGACTGAAATGATTCGAATTTCGCATTTGTTCCAGACTCGCAATTACTTATATAAACAGGTTGTATTCTTCAAAACACTTGTCCAAATATTCATCAAAATAAATCTATTTGTCTTTTTATATGTCAAATATTGACATTTTTCAATTTTGAATAAGACGAATGCGTTAATCAAGACAATTTTGGAAGTTCAGTTCGAATTTGATCGTCTTTGGATTTGGATCTCACAATTAGTACTTTTGCATCTCACAATACTCTAAATCAGTGAAATTTTCATAAGATAATGCAAATAAAGATCTTGTTCTCATTTTTATTTGGGATTTACTTTGGAATTTTGTTGGCAGCTTTATTTTCATTGAACCCAAATGTGGAAATGGCAATAGTAGATCTGAAAAAAATCCGAATATTGTTCTTTTCGACGACAATGATGACAGAGCTGGGCATAATGTGCAATAAGTGGATTGAATTGCATAAGAAACGCCGATAAACATATCTTCTGCGGTTTAATTAGAATAATCGACAGAATTAATCGAAAATAATACCGACGATAATGAAAATAAAGACAAAACAGAAATAAATCATCTATAAATAACCGCTGAAAGAACACAGAATTTACATTTTTATGGGTTCAATAGCCATTCCACCGTTTGCACGAGCAACAGTTGTGTAATCGTTTTTCAAAACAGTTAAGTAAATATTTATCATGGTGATTTATTTCTCTCTTCTATGTTATACATTCATTTGTTTCGATATCGTAGATCACACTTTGTTGAAATAATGACTCTGATGCAGTGAACAATGATAAGAATATAGAAATAAAATACAGGATAGTGTAGCATCGCTATATGGATATTGCTATAAATCATACAAATAACAAAACAATCGCGAAGCAAATTGTCAACGAAGATAATAAAAAAAAGAATATTTTATATGGATTTAATCTTGAAATTGATAACATGAAGGAAGATTAGCACTTCAAATTTCTTCTGAATACTTACGCCGATGCAGAGCGACACGAGCAATAATCGAGTCAATTTAATTACGAGTTCTGCAAATTATTTAATCATGTCCAGTGTTTTATAAATAAAAATGTGGAATTTTTCTGAGGAATTTCCAATAAAGTGTTGATTATTAAAAGAAGATTATTTAAGATGCGAGAATGCGGTTATTTATCGTGTGACAAAGAATGATTCAACAATTTGTTAGCTTATTTATCAAATTGTGGTATTCCCCCCACGCGTTCAGAATGCCTTGCAGCTCGATATCACAACACCGGTCATATCCGGAATCTATTTGTTTGCTGAATCATTGCATATCGGTAATAAACCGTATTCAATAACATTTCAAATGACCTTGTCATAAGTTCCAGTGGAGTGGGCCTTCAAAAATCCAAAAATAAAGTTTTGCAATCATATTTTCGCTTGATTTAATTAATTAGCCGAGTTATTGCTCTTGTTTGTTTATTTGAGAAGAGAACAATTAATGTCGGTTGAAGAGTTCAAAGATCTGGCATCAGTTTTGGGCGACATGAAAGAGCGTGGAAAAATAAACAGAATTCATTGAAACAATAGAAAAACAATTCACATATATAGAAAACTCAAAAACAAAAATCACACACAAAGAGCTATGGCGGTGACGGTCGCGTCGTCAGATGAAAAGCTTTATCAAAAATTAATGGTTGTTGTTTTACCCATTCAAACAAATCGCTTTCAGCTGCGGTGAAAACAAATATAAATCTCGTAATCTGGATGGTCTTGAAAAACAAAAGCAAATACATGTACTTTTTATTTTATTAACCCGAACAAATTGTAAATATGTGTGAATCAACGTTTTGATATAATCATCTTCGTCTTAGTAGGTACGTAGAGAGAAAGAAATGTCTCACCGTTAATCAGTTTTAACACTTTCTTCAAATGCCAAATGTATAGAGGCTACTGAACTCACGGACGAATCCCAATTAAAACTGAAAAGAAGAAAATTAATTTTCACCAGATAATTTCGTGCTCAACTTGACTTTTTTTAACGAATTTCCAAGCTCACTTTCAAAGTCAAACGGATTGATTTACGACAAAACTATCGACGCACACGTGAGAGAGTGCCAAATTGCACGATGACTTTGAACCACTTGCGGCGGTGGTAACAGCTGGAGAAGAAAAAAAGCTTATCAAGTGTAATCGTCATAAATTAAAAAAGAGCATTCATTGTGGGTTTTTGTGCGATTTTTTTTTTTCAATCTATCTCAACATGAAACGACTGATGATATAAATGTGTGAACTTCTTCGTTTTCAAAAAAAAAAAAAACGAAATCCACACTAAACAGTAATAATTTGCAGTGCGATGAGTTCAACAGCTGTTTCTGTTTGTCGATTAAATAAATGATTTCTCACACACTGAACCGCATTTATCTTCATTCGTTTCATACTCAAATTCACTCCAACATTGTCTCTCATTACGTTCAATACGAAAATGAATTCGAAAAGAAAACTCTGTAACCTCCATTTACTAACGAAACAACGGACCGTCTCCATATACACAGTGAACTCATACAGTTCACTGCTCACGAATGCTTCGCGATTTACTCACACCAAATAATAACGACGTCGGACTGTCATATGAAACGTCATATCATTGTTTACCTATTTTTTTGAGTCTTAAAACGCGATTTTGACCTCTTGTGAAATAATTATTTCCGTAAAAAAAAGATTATAAAATCCTATGAATCAAATGCGATTTTCATTGAATTCTGGGGAATCTCGGGGAAATGGCAACAAACGAACCAAGTAAATATTTAAAGTTGTAGCAAAGAGAATGAAAAAGATTGATTAAAATGGTTTTCTCGAATAACTTGTTTCAGACATGATTCAGACGATGACGACATCACCGAGATAGTTAGAATAGATGACAGCGATTCAGATTCGGAAAACGAAAATATTTCGCGAAAAATAAAGCAAAAGCAAGTTGATAGCATTGTCATTCCAGATGACGCGACTCCATCGACATCACGTCAAGCGATGCAGTCCGGGAGCGTCTCATCAAAAAGCGAAGCTGCCTCAAGTAGCACTGACAAAATGCTGTCATTAGTAACTGAATTTATTATCGAAGATTTGCACACAACGTCAATCGTAAAAGATTCGGGATTCAAAAAGTTAATTTCAACATTAAAACCGGACGCTGTACTGCCATCACAAGACGATATACTAAACCATATTCTGCTGCTTTATGGAATCGAAAGATCAAATTTGCTTGTTCAGTTGCATTCAATCGAAAACATATCAATTGCAATCGAACGTTGGACATCATTCACAGAGAATACATATGCCACCGTCAAGGCGAATTTCATAAATGATGACTTTGAACCACAATCCTACGTTTTGGCAACAGTACAATTGGGAAATACAAATTCATTCGGATTATTGAACGACAAAGTTATCGAAGTGCTGAAGCATTGGGAAATTGAAAAGAAAGTGGTGTCAACGGTTTACGATTGGTATCGACCGCCAGTCGATTTCTTGTCACCGTGTCAATATCAAGAATTAGGTAAAAAAATGTGTTGCTTCGCATTAAAATTACAAACAGCCATCGATAATAGCCTCAACAGCATTCCCGAAATTAAAGCAATCATTGAGAAGTGTAACCAATTGGTTTCTTACTTTCTGCACAACAATGTAGCCGAGATTTATTTGAATAAATATCAAAACTACTTGGATCTGTCATGTGATCAGTTAGTTCAAGCGTGGTCGGACGAGATAAATTCGACTTATTTAATGTTGGATCGACTGTTAAGTCAAAAATTAGCAATCGATTCGGTGCTACGAGACACTGATGCCACTGACGCCACACAGGCTGCTGAGCTACAATTGAATGAAAATGAATGGTTGATTATTAAAGAAATGGTTGCTACACTCAAACCATTTCAATTGGCTAAACTTGTATTGTATCGCGTAAAAGAGCACATTGACTCAGTTTCCGTGGTTAAACCAATGATTTATTCGTTTTGCACGAATTTTTTGTCGCCCAATAATGAAATAAATCCCGTACCACTTTTAAAGCAACGAATCAAAGAAGATCTTTTAACGAAATTTCAATTGTACGTTGGAGAAAATGAAATGACCGCACCAGACTACTTTGATATTGCAACGTACTTGGATCCAAGATATAAAAAACAAGAATATATGAGCGATGAAAATCGAGAAACCGTCAAACAATACATACATGATGTGTATTTTGCAAAAAATGAAACTACAAGCAGCGGAAAACCATCGAAATGGGCCATTTCATCGAAAGCACTGAGCATTTTATTTCCATCTGCACCAAATGAAAGCGAAAGTGAGTGCTTGCGATATCACAACGAACCGGAAATTGACAAAAATTTATCGCCGCATAAATGGTGGAAATTACATGAAAGCAAATATCCAATTTTAACTACAGTGGCTAAACGCTATCTATGCACGCATTCTACATCAAAATCTATTTTTACATCACGCAATGCATCGCTTAGACGCAAGAATCTTTCACCACAAATCGTTGATAAACTTATCTTTCTTAATCATAAATTAAAATTTGATATTATTTAAATTTAAAACACGGTTGATACTGATGAACAACTTTTGATTGAAATCTAAGAAAAAAATTACGAATTTTCAACATTGTTTTATTTTATGTATTTTTGAAAGTATTTTAAGCGATAAACTTCTTGATCTGTATATATACAACTTCTGAACATCAATAATAATTGAATATCAAAATAAACAAATAATTTTTTTTTTTTAATTATAAACAATATTTATTTTCACCAAACATTTGGTTGACACTTTCAAGGGTTCATCTAAGGTTTTTTTGAACTTTTTATTTAACATTCAAAGGTTTTCAAACCTAGTTGCTAAATTATTGAAATTCACTCCATTTAACACTCAAAATTTTGCAGAAAATATTGTTTGCTTCCAACGAAATGAAACTTATCCCTTGTTAAGCTTGTACTAAACTGACGAAATAAACTTCTTAAGAATTATTTTTCATCAAATGATCATTGTTTCTAATTGAAATGTGAACCTTATGAATGACATCTGTAATTATGTATAGAATAGACTGGCCCAAAAATAAAAATGTGTATGGTATCGAAATATCCCATCCGCTTTGGTGAAATACATGAAAAAATACTTTCCTCGATTAACGAATTTGGGCAATTTTAAAGTCCAGAAAAAATGTCTTTTCCGCCGTAAAAAAGAACGAATACGAAAGAAACCGAATATGAAGAGTTTTGCGATACAAGTAATTTTTGATACACTTTTCAAACAAAAATCTGAAAACATCACACAAAATTTGGATTTTGTATGGGAGCTATACCTGTATGCCATCGTACTGACATGAAAGTTTGCACATGTTATTTTTTCCACAAAAAATAACATCCTGAGAGTTTGAAGAAATTAAAAAAATCAGGGGTTTCTCCCATGCAGAATTTTTTCGATTTTTGGCTGGGTTTTGAATTTCCTCAGCCAAACATCGAACAAGATGGCTCCAAATATACCTATAAAATACACCAAATGTATGATAAAAACGCTCATTCCGAAAAAATTGAATCCCTTACAAAATTCATTCCCAACGGTAAGAAATATCATTTATTGAAGATTTGTCATATAATAATACGCATATTTTTTATTTACATGATTAATTTGGATTGTTTTTTTTATCAAATGTTCAGTGATCATTGTTTCTAATTGAAGTGTAAACCTGATGCTCCAAAGGATTTCGGGCAAAATTTCTTTGACATAATGGTATAAAATGAGTCTGGTTCAGATTTCAAAATGTCGATCTCTCGTGTAAGACTGCTCCATAAATGAATTGCAACCGTTTGATCTGTTACTTTCTTGAGCGCTTGTTTAACGATTTGAGGATCTTTATTTATATGTTCGTCTGGATTTAAGGGAAAGAATTCCACCTGTGGCATAATTTTAAGTCCCTCACAAAATTCAGGTAACATCCTTTTAATCATCTTTGGATACTCAGCTTTACATATTCTTTGCGCTACTCGTCTTAATGCCCCCGGTCCATTATGTGACCAACTATTTGGATCATATTTTTCAATACACTCTCTATTCGTAAATAAAAAAAAACGGAATTATATTTCTGCATGAACTTGATTATTTTTGCTATAACAAAATTTACCTAAGAATCATGTCCATTATATTATGACCAGTGCCATTTGAAGCAAAGCCGAGAACGGAAGCATTTATTTTGTCTGATTTTTCCAGCGGCATGAAGTTCGGGGGTAGCTCATCGACACTTTTTATCATAATAAAGTCCATATCAAAATAAATTCCACCGAATTTGTAGAGAGTTAAAAATCGAATATAGTCAGACATTTGCGTTTTAAAATATGGTGACAAAAAGATTTGATCTCTTGTAACCCATTGTTCCGCCGGAGTGTTTTTTGAAAAATCATAAATGTTCAAGTTTCGAAAGTGAACATTTCGAAACGATTTTAGTATGCCAATCAATGATGAATTAGACTTATTTGGCGTAAATCCGACGGGCGAAACGAACAAGACATATACATCACGATTTGGATTTTGAGTTGCAGCTGATTCAATCGCACATGTTTCTCTAAAAAATATGAAGAAAAAGTCCAGTATGATTTAAAAAAAAGGTTTTAGTTGTGAATACCTGGCATTGAGCGTAAATTGCCCATCATTCATACATGACGTTGCAATGAAAAAAATGGACGTGTCTGGTTTTGGTGGTGATATTTCAATGTCGTCAATAAATTGAACATTTTCCACGGGTTTTTCTAATTCGTAACATTTTTTATCTCTTTTAATCTTTTCGACTTGTGCTTTTGTATAATTCAAGTATCGAAATTCGATGGATATCAATTTTGGTTGAATTTCCTTAGGTTCAATTTTTCGTTGGGATTCATTCGGTATAACTTTTGAATCATTTTGTACGTTAAAATATTTATTACTTGATAAAATAACATAAATATCGTCTTTTTTGTGCAATAGTGTGACCAATAAAATCGTGATAATTATTGGCACAATTAATATTTTCCGAAAACTGCTCACAGCATATCTTAACACTTTCACCGAATGATTCATTTCAATGTAGAAATTCAACACCACAAGAACTTCTTCTATTTAACCTGAAACTATCGATTGCATTAAATTTGTTCGAAAAATTAAAAAAATAAACAAAAATTTATGACATTTACACCGAGAAAGAAAATGGTAAAAATTTAATGTCAACGGATCAATTGTGCTCAATTTCATGAGAAAATCTCATGTGTTCTACCTCTACTACCTATATGGATCACCGATAAATACATAAGAAATGAGTGATACCATTTTTCAATCAGTAAATTTGTACCGATTTTTTTTCACTGTACAAACAGAAATAGTTTTTTCTTTCATTTGGGCCAATTGAAATGTGTTTGTTTATATAATATTAGTTTTTTTTTTATCGACCATAACTGTTTATAAACAAATAGTAAATTGGCTCTTTCTTTGATAACATTCTACAGTCCGCCAGTCGACTCTTTGTTATAATTTTAAACTAGGTTGTTTGTAGGTTGATGAATGTGTGTATTGCTAAAATGATTACAGTTTTTGGTGAATTACAAAATGTTTCAATACACAAACATTGAAAGTGTTAGAACTTTTATTTGTTATGTAGGCATTGAACTGTGAAACTATTTGCGGCAAATTTGCTCTGAGCAAACGCAGATGGCAAAAAACAAAAGCAATCAGAATAAATCATTTTACTATCTATACAAATTTACAGATGGTGAAATAAACCATACTATCAAATCCAAATTTGTTTCGCGGCCCCTCTAAAGCTTATCACTTGATAAATGACATCTGGAATTGTGTATAGATGGTAAAATGCTATTTTTCTATGATTACTTCTGTGTTTAACCTGTTTAACTGATTTAACCCATAAATAATTCAAAATTTTTATGTATGTACTTACACTGAGAGCCACGATATGAAAGACAATTTCATTACAACACTTCACATGTACTGCGCGTGCGAAATTACAACAAACGAGAAATTGTCGAAAAAAAGAAATAGTCGTAAATGATTTTTGGGAGTCATCTTTGACAACAAACTCAACTTTATAAAACACATCGATTCAATCGTTGTCAAAGCAACATCAGCACTCGGATTCGATAAGAGATTTTGCTACGATATTCCTGATGTCAATACTCTCAAGTCATTATACTGTGCTCTCGTGCAATCAATCTTGGAGTATGGCTGTTTGGTATGGCTCCCGTACCTTGATATACACAAGAACAAAATCGAATCGTGCCTGCGTCAATTCTCAATGTTTGCTCTCAAGGAGTATCCAAATATTTCAAATGACTACAGGATTTCATCGTACAGCACTCGCCTAGGCAAACTAAACATGCAATCACTCCAAAGGCGCCGTATCAACGCATCAATTCTATTCATTTTCGACTTGATGCAAAATAACGTTCACTGCCCATCACTGAAGACTGAAATTGCCCGCAATCAAAATGGACGTAACTTAAGATGTGTGGAGTACTTCAAAATCAATGACAAGAACTTCAAAATCAATCCATCAGTACCAATCAACCAAATGTGAAAAATGTCAAATAAGGTCCACGAACTATTTTCAACGCAATCAAAAAAAGATCAACCTTCAAAACTCGACTTTTAGCCTTAAGCGATGACCATTTTTCTAACTTGTCATTGGTGTCTAACTATAACACTGTTTTCTTTAACGATCTAATGTGATACATTGTGATTTTTGTAAAGATATTAATTATTTATTCATCCAATTATTTATTTAATTATTTATTTATTAATTATTTTCTGACTCATTGTAACCGCGTGCAATTTGAAATTTTTTTAGTATTTATAAGTGTTTTTTGCTGTTTGACGGTAATTTTAACAGTTTACTATTAACTATTAGCTATTACTGTAAGAAGTAGCTAATTAGTTATTAGAAATCTTTATTAAAAGATGTGGTTTTTAACGGTGATCAGATGTATACCAAATGTGTATCATTGATTCATACCTTTTTCCCACCAGTAAATGTATAAAAAGTATGTACAAACTCAAAAGATTCAGCCAGTTTTGGCGGTGAATAAATATTATTATATTATTATTATTATGATGAACCTTTTACGTTGTATCCCGAGTGAAAAAAAAGTGACTAAGTTACTATTGACTGTAAGTGACTATAGTTAGCTATATTCATGAATTTTAAAATTTTGTATGGAAAACAATCGACTATAGTTACTCAGTCAGTCAGGCGATTATTTTGGGACGTTTCGACTATCGGGTGACTATGATTATTGTCAACTATAGTTAGCTGTTGCAGTTAACCATAGCTTACTTTAATTGATTGAAGTTAACTAAATTTAACTAAGGTTGCTTGTTTTTACAGTCAATAGTCAGTCAGTTTGTCCCAAAATAGTCAGTCACTTTTTTTGTACACGGAATATTATATCTTTTATTGGATAGCAACTTTCCGAGTCTATTTTCTGTCCCCTTTGCTGCAAATTTTCAAATATCACCGGGTATTTTTTTAAATATTCATGACTTTACCATAGATTCTGGAGTTGATGATTTAAGGGAGGGGTAATCGGCAAAAATATTCTCAAAACCCCTAGGAAATTTGAATATTTTTTTTGACGAGAATGGAAAACCCTTGGAAAATTGAATAATTTTTACGTAGTCAGAATCTATGGACTTTACCCAAATTAATTTTCGTTTCGATAATTATCTTTAGTTTTTTCCTCAATTTTTATTCCTATCTTTTTCTATGTACTTTTTATTGAATCTTATGATTATTTCATTGGTTTTGGTGAAAAATCGAAAACACATTTACGAAGATTTTGGTTTTTTGCTTTAACACCTTCCCGGAAATTGTCACGGGCGTTGACTCCATTTATTACTTTTTAAATTATGTATGTATGACTCTTCCACAGTACTTATTAACAATTTTAATTTAATTTCCTGCAGATATTGAATGGTCTTCAAATAATGGCAAATTCATCATATATACTTACTAAGTTGTAAACGACAACGAGGAATTTCCACCGAATTAACAAGCTGACTAAAATTTTCGTTATGTGTAAGTGAAAATCAATGAATGATTTTTTTAAAGTGTCATTAAAATGTTTGAAAAAATATCATATATTGTTGTTTCATTTCGAATAATATGCTTGTGACTATTGAATATGGAAAAATACGAGATTGCACTTGATTTGTTGTTGTTTTTGAACGTTTTTAATTTGTATCAATTCATATTTAAAATATATTACTCACGAAGGAGTAATTCAGTTAGCGTTCAAGTCTCTTATTTCGAGTGTGTAATTTTTCCAGTCAATTCTTTTCCGGTGAGTGAACCTAGGAGTGAACAATTTTTATTTAATTTTCTGCAGAAGTTCAAGTAGTTCTCGAAAATATTCCTGTTAATAGCAGTAAATTTGCTATATGACATAGTAGATGATGAGATAGATTTCAACAGATTTCCGAAAGCAATTAAAATGTTCAACAAGTGGCATTTAAGTCAACCTAGTTTTATTTTCGATGCGTTGGCGTTCAAATAAAAATCAATAAATTCTTGTTTGAATTGAATCATGCCATGATTTTAATAACATAAATATTACATTTAAAAAGCAATCATAATCAATTTCGATCACTTTATGACAAGGAACGCTATCCCATCATAATATTTTTTTCATTAAAAAAAATTTCAATAAAAACGGAATTTTTCAAAATGTATGTCACAATGATGCTATGCACTATCTGCATGCTTGAATTGATTAAAAAAAGCGAGGGACGAGGGGGAATGTTGCGTTGTGGTTATTTTGTAAAAAAAAATCTGCCGAATTATTTAATTTTGAATTTTTCAAGAATCGCTTGTGCAACAGCCACATCTTCAACGGCCATACCTGTTGATAAAAAAAATGTTTACTTTCCACCGTAATTCAAACTTATTTATAAAAAAAAATTACCCATCGAATGAAATATAGTAATTCCTGTCGTTGGTGGTGCACTGTGTGCGTTGATGATATCACCGACTTCTCCAACAATCGGAGCGTCCAACGTTTTCAATTCAGAGTGAGCATTATCAATGCTATCAACATATATTTTCGTCTGTGGGTCTTTGTATATATCTTCGCTAAGTTCAGTATGGTGATTTACACCAGCGCCAACCGCTAAAAAGGAAATTTCCTATTAATTTATCCAGTTTCATTGAACAATGAACTTTTAAATTAAATACCATTGATGTGCACATTATTTTTAATCATTGACCGGAACAAGATTGGCGAACTTGAGAATGTAGCAGTTACAATAACATCGGCATTCTTAGCACATTCCTCAACTGTGGAGACGCATTCAATTTTAATATTGGGATTTTTAAAACTTTGTCGTAATTGCATCAATTCAGCGATCAGAGACTCGGCTCGGCTCTTTGTTCGATTCCACAAGCGAATTGTTTCAACGAAATTCGTTGACAACAAACCGATAGCGTGAGTGCGACCCTGTTTCATTTGATTAATTTATAAGGAATTAGTCGTCGGCTAATTAACAGTAGTTAAATTGAGTGAAAAAAATGTTGTCGCTTGACGGGTAATCAGTAAAATGATAGTTTAATTCACCTGAACACCACACCCAATAATGGCAACTGTGTTTATTTGCGGCGTTGATGGCCGTTTTGAGAAAAGATATTTAGTGGCAACAAGCGAAGCACCGGCTGTTCTCCATCCAGTTATTTCAGAGGCTTGTATAGTTGCTGTTAGTTCACCGGTTTCTTCATTAAATAGAAAAATATTTCCAATAATGTTCGGTTTCGGGGGAATTAAATCTTTATTGCCTACGAATGCCGTCACTAATTTGCATCCAAGTGAATTGTACACCTTCGGTTGATTCGCAGCTAATTTATAGTTGCCGATGAAACCTGGCATGCATAATAGTGTGCCTATTTGCATAGAAAATATTTTTTTTATTTTTTAAAATATATTCTTTGATGGATTATTTCATTTTATAATTTTTATTCAAGAAATGTTTTGCCATTCACTTGTTTTTTGAAACTATTGTTAAATAATTAACCAAAAAACTACCTTTTTCAGTCGGTGTAAATATCCGCGTTGGTTGCACTGCAGTCGGTTGATCTTGGCTAACTTTTGTTTTACATATTGACCGAAGTGATTGTTCAACAGCGTGAAAGACGAGTGGCCAATCCATCAATTCTTTCACTTGTACTTCGGTTAAATTAATCACTGCCATAGTTTCAATCTGGTGAATTCGAAAATAAAACAAATACTGATTGATTCGTTGCACTTTCTTCTTTATATAGTCAGAATTGGCCGTTATCTCTGATATTATTATCTATAATGTAAGGAAAAATCGATAAGACTATTAAATCCATCTATTTTATATACGTGGTTTTCTGTCAACAAAAATTAAACCTCAGTTGTTTTCATTTTTGTAAACCACTTGTTTCCGATTGCTCATTACTTAAAACCTAAGATTCCCACCATAATATTATCATTTTACTTTGCGCTATCTCTGTGCTCTTCCGTCTCCATATAAACAGATTAGACTTATTCACCGCACAATATGATTACGATGTCGATGTATTTGAGCTGCTTTTACACAACCCAATCCCACACGCTGTGTATCTTTGAATACAACTCAAATTCGGTTTAATACACATACACAAGCTGATTACGACCACTTGTAACTGTGAATCAGTACCAGATGTGTGCTGAAAATAAAAAAAAATCCAATACTTTGTCACAAATTTGTGTATGAAGTTGCGACAGTGTGTAGAGCATACATTAAAATAAAACCGCTCGCGCCGCAACGAACACGTACATAAAACCAATATTTATAGGAATGTCTCAGTCAGTACTTAACCGCCAGTTACACGTTATCGTTCGATATTTGCTGTAAACATTTTCGATCGGAAATAATTAGCTAACATATAGAGCTAACTAACCTACAATTTGCAAATCAAATCATATAGACGGCAAACGTTTTCGGTAAGTCAAAGTGGAATACAGAATATAGACTGGTTTCTTTGTGTATATAGTGATATGTGGAGTTTGATATATATCAACATTTTTCAGTCAAATAAATTGTGGCTAAAAATGTCAAAAATCTCATGAAAAAATCAGGTTTTGAAATTCAAAAGAATAGAATAGAAGCCTTGCGTGATATTATGTTCAGTGATATTTGCTTTTGCTTTGTGAAACATACCGGACAAATACGCCGAATCGCATACGATAATCAAAGTAATAACAAGGCCTTCTCTTTTTAGTTTAAAATTTATACATTCACACACGCTAGCGTAGTTTTGAGTTCCGTAAAATTTTGATGACGATGATGTCATGCAAAGTTCATAGCATATACGCTCCGCAATTGAATTCGTCGAAATAAGATAAATTTACAATTCGATTCAAATTGAATTTGCACCAAAAACTAAATGAATCATAGTCCCATTGAAAATTGCGAATTGACACGTGTCACTTCATCGAAACGATGAGCAAGAGAAAACTATTGTGTAATGACTCTGAGTAATCTCTTTTGACGAAAGTGTTGATTAATTGCTCCAGTCGGCCACGTCCGAAAAATTGTACACATATGTGAAGTTCGTGGTAGCTGTTCACTTTCTTTATCTCTTAATAGCTGCCTGAAAATATCTCAATATAATGTGTGTTCATTCGTTTATGTTTCGCTTATGTTTCGTTCACATTCGACAAACGGGTCATTCGAAGAACGAAACAAGTAATACGCACACATTTTAATATAAAATTAGCTGCGTTCCAAGCAAACAAACCTCATTTTGTCAGTTGAAATACACATGAAACGTAAACAAAGCGCGTTTTTAAAATCACACGCCTGAGAATAAACAACGCACGGAAACACACATTCAGATATAGCAAGAGCATTGTGTATGCTTTAAAGGCATTTCTCATATTTGTATTTTAAACAAATTTTACTCAAAGGGGAATGCTACTATAGTGTTTAAAACAAAAACCATTTTATTTCACTAAAGATTTGAAAGATGAAGATTGAATGAAATTGTATGAATATATAAAGCGAAGACACGATTTTTTTTCTTAATTTTACCATAGTTCCATATGATAGCCCCCTGATTTGAATGTAATTTGTTTGTTTTAATATTGAGTCAGCGATTCTATTTCAATTGAAATTCATATCGGTGACTATCATACAATGATTTTTGGATAGGATAGATGCGTAAGATCTCCGGAAGATCCGGATCCAAGCGTGCGTACGCTGACGCATGATGCATACATATATAATACGCATGCAAATTCGTTATTCTTATTTCGCATACTTTGATTCGCATGCCATAGCATTACGGAATAACGAATGTATGTATCATGCGGCTACGTACGCACACTTGGATCTGGATCTTGCGGAGATCTTACGGATCTATTCTATCCAAAAATCATTGTATGGTGACTATTTATCATGACGTCACTTGACTCATATCAATATAAAAACAAATGAATTTCCATAAAAAGATAAATGACAAAAATAATGACGTGAATATGACACATACGAGAGGTGTATCTGAAATGGTTCGGAAAAAAATTACATGTACGTATTGTGCGATGTTTTGTGTGGCTGGTTAGAAGTACGTCATCAATTTGACTACTATATGTGTACTTGATTACGCATTATTTCACCATACATCGGGCAAAATCCAGTGAGCAATCTACATGATTCGAAATGATTCATGATATCGAACAAGTGCACTTTATTTGCGCTTGATTGCACCATTATCGGCACATGTTAAACTGCTCTCAATCGCAAAGTGAAAATAGTTGTCGGTTTTTTTCTAACACAATACCAATAATAAACACGAAAAAAAATGTGCAAAATCACATTGGGGGGTTTTGTTGAACATAAACGCACTATACGTGTCTAGTGCCTGCTGGCGCCGGTTTGCTTAATGATATACTGTGTTGTCTGAAACACATACACCCATACATTCCGATGTGGCATACCGTGCTTTTGTTTACAAAACGAACAACACTGAACTAATGTCTTGCATGAGATTTGGCAGTCAGTCGCATAACAAATCATGTTGACATAGGTTGTTGCTGCTTTTTTCTAGTTCCGAAATAATGGAAAATGGATAGAAAAAGAAATGTATTTATCTACAGCCGGAGAATTCATGAGTTTTCTATCTCTTTTCAGATTCTATTTGTTCTTTTTTGACGTTTATTGCCAGCAGACAACATCATCAAAATGAGTTATCCATTTGTAAGTATAACGTAAATTGTATCTCATTTTATCACACTAACAATAGACAAACACTTTCACCAGAATAGAATGAATCACACACCATTTTTCACTAACACAACAAAAAAGACGAACCAAATCATTTCTACGCCATTGATTCAAAATGTTCGAGTCAATTTTCTGAAATAGATGTATGCATAAATTTGGAATCTGAATCATGGGTGTGTGTGTGCATGCCAATTAAATTATATGTACCATATAAATTGGTCGAGTTCGATTCGAATTCCAACCACAGGGATTCCAAGCATAGAACCAATGAGATATTTAACAATGAGATGAGCTAAATAATTGAATCAAGAATGAACAGTCAATGTATATAATCCAAGTCACAAGTGCAAAAAAAAAAATCCCGAGCACTTGATTGATAAGAACTACTTAACATCCGTTTGCTGTGTGCGGATTTGTGTCTGTACAATATACGCGCATACTACAGCAGCACACTTGTTCCAAAACGAAAACACTGATCATACAGTTGGTCATCGCATGATTTATTAATAAAATTAATCTAATAAAAAAAACTACACTAACGATGCGCACATCAGCATTTGTTAACTGATTCACGTCACTGAAATACTTCAGTTTAATTCGAACTCGCGACAAACGTGGACCATTTCATACACTGTGATTAGCTCGTTTGCTCTTCAAAACAAGTACAGTGTGCTTGCTTTTCTCCCCCGTTTAGCTATTACCATTATTCGCCTTCAATTTGTGTACTTGATTCGATCGAACGAATAAAAAATAAACATGGATAAATATCATTATTACATTGACTGTGGTACGAACGCAAATGATAAAAAAAAAATCGAAAAATGTGTGAAATTTTAACATTGAATTCTGTTGTTTGCACAGTTAGTTTATTAAATATTGTGTGCTTGTACATTGTGAAATGCGTTTAATAAAAGAAACTGGATTATTTTTCTGTTGTAGGGCTCGGGCATGCCACCACTTCCAAACTCGAATGCATCACCCAATTATCCTTCCTATCCAAGGCAATCAAATAATTCGATGCCAATGACTTCATATCCAACACAATCGAACCAAATGCCTTCATATCCGACACAATCGATGCCGCAGGCACCATTTGGAGCTGGTTTTGTGCCACCGCAGCCAGCTCCAAGCGCTTATCCAAGTGCTTATCCAAGCGTATATCCAAATGCACATCTTCCGAGCTCTACAACAGTTTATCCACCACCGATAAATCCAAACGCATCTACACACATTCCACCAACAAATTCACAACATTATTTACCCCCACAACAAGGTTATTCGGGTTATGGTTATCAACAAATTTCAACATCGGGCCCATCATATCCAGTTGTTGGCAATATGGCTGCATGTTTTTCAGAAATGCAAGGTCATATTAAGGATGTTCGTCGGTCCAAGGTTTGTTTGCATCACATAAAAGACACACACACACTCTACAAATTCCATTCCATTCAATTTCAATGCGTGTATTCATTTGCATTTTATCGTTTCGAAATGAACGCAATTTTGTTCATATATTGCGACTCCGCAAAAATCATGATTGAAGTGAACAACAACTGACAATGATATTTGCTGGCAGAAAGAAAAATCATACAAACACTAACTCTCATACCACTCACACACACACACACACACACACACACATACATACACACAAAATAACAAACAATCATATAAAACAAATTAACGTTCATACACACATGACAACCATATCGTTTCAAATAAATTGCCTAAATCATCTTATGGAACGTTTTAAGTGAGGCAAATTGACATGTATTGTCGCTGATAATCTGAACACTTATTTTTGTATGGTTTCTTTGTCAAATCAAATTAAAGACGCAAAATGTATTCACGCTTCAACATTTATTTTTTCGCTCGTTTGAATACATTAATTGAATGGATCTATTTCCATTTCTTTTTATTTCGAATTTATTATAATTTAACGCTTTATTTTGTCTGTTTTTAGGGAAATCCAACCGTTGTGCCAGCTCAAAACTTTGATCCGGTTGCCGATGCCCATGCATTGCGGAAGGCGATGAAAGGATTTGGCACCGATGAAGACAGTCTCATAAACATAATTTGCCGACGCTCAAATGAACAGAGACAAGTATGTTCGGATGAATTTTTGTTAATTAATTCAATTTGTTATAGTGTTTACTTTTGCTTTCTCTTTAGATCATTCAACGTACATACAAAACCCAATTTGGAAAAGATTTAATCGAAGGTTTGCATTAACTCATCATCGTTGATTAACTTTGTCATCATTTATTTATCTTGTTTTATCTTTTTAATCGAAAGATGTTCGCTCGGAAACTAGCGGAAACTTTGAAAAGTTATTGGTCGCATTATTGACGCCAATCGTTGATTTTTACGTGAAAGAATTACACGATGCAATGGCTGGAATTGGAACCGATGAGGATGTTCTCATTGAAGTTTTGTGCACAATGTCAAATTATGAAATTCATACCATAAAGCATGCTTATGAAAGACGTGAGTTCATTTTCACCATTTAATCGATAATAGTTTAAAATTTCGTATACAATTTCCTCAATGTAATTTATTTTGGCTTAATTTCATGACTGTCATTTCGTTTGCTTGAAAATGTTGTGTACAACGTGCTGTCATCCATACCATTTACCCGTGGAACATGACAGTTTATGGCAAAAGTTTGGAAAATGAACTGATGTCGGAGACGTCGGGCAATTTTAAACGACTTTTGGTTTCACTTTGTGCTGGCGGCCGTGATGAAAGCGGTATTGTTGATGCAGTTGCTGCAACTCGGGACGCCACTGAATTATTACGTGCCGGAGAATTGAGAGTTGGTACAGATGAAAGTACATTCAACATGGTATTCTGTCAACGCAACTATGCTCAAATCAAATTGGTGAGTCAAATTCGAAATTTATTTGCAATGACTTGAATTACTGATTTTTTTTATTGTTCTTTTCATAATCTAATAACATTCACGCGTATATTGATTTAGACTTGTGAGGAATATCAGAAAATGACCGGCCATGGATTAGAGAAAGCGATTAAAAATGAGTTCAGCGGTGACATTATGGATGGTTTGATTGCCATTTTACAATGTACCACAAACAAAGGTGAATTCTTTGCAAGCCGCCTCCACAAGAGTATGGCTGGCATAGGAACAAATGATAACCAATTGATTCGGTTGGTGGTGACACGATGCGAAATCGATTTGAATGACATTAAGGTCGCATTCGAACGCTTGTACGGCAAAAGTTTGCGCAGCTGGATAAAGGTCATTATTTCATGATAAAATTGTGCTTTTTTGTTGCCTTCTCGTAATCACTATTTCAAACATTAAAAATAACGAATATTTTTTTTATATCGTTTCTTTACAGGGCGACACATCTGGTACTTACTTACTTCCTTTGTGCTTTCAATTTATTTTCATTATTTTTTAAATACCTCATTAATATCATTGTATTTTTTTATTATTCTTTTCTATTAGGCCACTACAAGCATGCTTTGTATGTATTGATTGGCGAACAGCGTTCATCATAAGTTCAAATTGATTTTCGGTGATCAAAATTTACGTGTGCTAAATTTAAATTAATAATTCACCTTTTTCAATCTCCGTTTCATATTTTGTTCAAAACTTTTATAGAATTTAATTATTTTTGATTATATAGATATTTTGTGACACTCCAATTGAGTAACGTAATTGATATTATATAATGTGCATTTTTTTGATAAATTTGAAACATTCAAATTACAGTTTACAACAATAATAATTAATTTAATGAGTACAAGATCCAGCACAATCGATTTTCTTATAAACAATTTAAATAAAAAGTATAAATCATAGATTTTCTTGAATTATTTTTTACTTTCTGCTTTTTTCGTCATGATTTTCTTTATTCAAAAAAATTAACCAGTAAGTGTTTACATTGTAATGCCTAGTGAATCTGAAGAAAATGTAGACGATGGAGACGGTCGATAAAAATGTCGATTTGCATTTTTCTTAAATTTAAAATGTGTGTGCCCTTGACAAAATTTGAATGTAATAACCAGTCATGATAGATTACAAAAGACAAAGACTTTCTGAGAACAATTGAAGCCATTGTATATCCTTATTTAATGCTAATTGAGTCACCAGGCACAATGTGCATCAAATAAATTAAATTGAGTTACAATGTTAACCGCGACCACACACACGTACGATTCTGATGTCATTTGGTTTTAAACATTCTCGACCATAATCGGCCTGATTGAGTTAAGCTCAGTCAGCCGCATCGAGTCTGATAATGAATTAATTCACAAATAAGACTGAATGCAGGTAGTAAAAAAAGAACAATGTCGATATGAGTCAGCTCTCAAGCAGTTATCTCTCCATAATCTACAACAAATTACATTTATTTAAGCCGAAAAGGGCATTCCTATCGGTCAGCATGCAGTCAGAAACAAACTAAAAATTAAAGAAGAAAAAAAAACTTAAAATTATTCTCAAAACCATGAATGAGTTCTTTTTTCGTTTGAAAGTCATCAAATAGCTGCACTTGGTCTGAAAATTGATTTATGTTCAAATGTGTGTTTCAGGTAAGTTTGTGTAATTTTTTCTTCTTTCTTTCCAAGTCATTCTCCGATAAAGTGGAAGAACTTTAAAAAGTTGGTATACCCAAAGCTGTTAATGTTTCAAATTAAACGAGAAAAGAAAAAAAAACCGAAAACGAAAAATAAAACCAATAGAAATGAAACCAAGCCCCTGGCGTTAGCGTTGTTAAAACAAATAATGGAAAAATAAACACACAAATTTACGGAGAATCAATTTAAGTCCGTGCACTGTTCACACACAGGAACCAAAGCAGAAGGAAAATATAAAAAGAAGATACCAATGAAAAGAAGAAGCGCCTGTGCGCTTCTCTGCAGCATAATGCAAAAGGAGAGCCGAGAGAGACAGAGAAATGAAAAAAAGAAACATACTCGGAGAATGCTATGTTAATGGGATAGAATGACTAACGAGATACGAAAAGATGAGGAGCGAGAAAAGAACGGAACAGAAAAATCTATGCAAACAGTGAAAAAAAGAAGAAGAATAAGAAGAGCATTCAATGTTTTGTTTGCTGACTGGCGATCGCCAACCTTTCCGAATTGTTTTGTTCTTGCTTTCGTTGCATTGCTCTGTTATTCAAGCGATTGATCTTGAGATAATCGTATATCGCATCGCCTGTATTTTTCCGTACGAACACTTTACACAAATGGCTAACTAAATTAGTGTATTTCACCGGAGAGATAATATACATGATGCCTGTTCACATCACCGCATTGTGGCGTGTACATGTGTGTGTATTGCTTTCCATCCAATTTCATGCCATATTTCCATTGGAATAAATTCCACGGCAAAACACGATTCAGAACAGCCTTCGAGCTACATATTTTCTTGATTTTATTGTGTGCGTGTGATTTTTTGTTTTTGGCGAACGATTGCGATCGTTGCGGTGGACTTTTATTTAATTCAAACGTGAGACAATCTGGGAATGCTGCTGCCGTCACTGCTGCTGTTGATGTTTCGTTCAAATGATCTCTATGAGAAAAAGACGACGACGATTTGGCTCTCTCTCTCTTTTTCGCAAATCGAAAGAATGCGAGAAACCTCAGCCACACACAACAATCTCGCAAATATAAACAGCGGAGAGCACAAGATCACGATGCTTCAGTCGTTTTATGTACGTGTGTGTGTGTCGAATGTTTCTTTGTTGTTGTTTCGATATGCTTTGGTTGTGGACCGTGTGTCTACCTGTTGAACCGGTTCTGCTAATTATATGTATTACTGTCAGTATTTGTTCATCAACAAGGTGCTTCGAAAAAAAAAGCGAACGAATTTGTTTGAAACAATGCACATTCGCAGTTTTTCGCATTCAGAGACGACCGACCCAAAATTCTTTTCATGCTGAAATGTAAACTGATATCGCTCCTTTGCGAATTGTGCTGTCTTCATTCACATACATTTTTGTTGTTGTGTCTGAAAGTTTGTTTTGTTCAAAATGATGTGGTATTAATATGATTCAAACGCTAAAAGCATTTTTTAATTACGCATATTCGTTGCAAAATGTCATACTGCTTTCAATCGCTAGCCACAGAGAGAGAAAAAAATCATTTCCGCCAATGTTAACAATGCTCTCAGCTCATGATGTCAAATACTGTAATGTATTATGGCCGAGACTGTAACCGGCAACCGAAATTTATTGCCATGAAACGGATTTAAAATGAGCTCCAGCCGCAAATTGAAGTGAAGATTTATGTTAATTAACACAAAAATTAGTGACAATTACGCATGTCATCAAAATCTATTTTTGTTGTGCTACAACATCAACGACCGAAAAAAGAAGAAGTGACGAATTAAAACCCATACACAATTGAACTTTAAATAGCAAGTGTTAATAACGAGCATTTGTGTTTTTTCCGGGCACATTTGCTAAGTGCCATTAATTTGTCTACCCTGTGGTAGGCGTTTTTTTTTGACGTTGTCGTCGTCGTGGTTGTCGTTGTTTGAATGGAATGCTCTGTCAGTGTCTAACAGGCCAGAAAGCAAACCAAAATGCATATATACTTTCACAGTAAATGTATCATATTGAACCATTGGCCATTTTCGCGATGACAAATTGTATCGATTCCATTAAATTTCAACTGTCAGCGTGTGAAGTTTGTATTCTCCTTTTCTCTCGTTCAACTCCATGAATCTCGATATTTATCCGAAAAAAGCCACACATTTGCAGCATAACGAAGGAAAAGTGAATGTAATGAGAAATCGTGATCTGGATGAGAGGTACACACTCAAAAAAAAACTTTTGACCAGACTGGTATTTAAGCAAAAAAAAAAAAAAACGATTTGGTCGAAACAAAGAAAGCATGAAATGGTCAGCGTAAAGACAAAAAAATGCACCAAACACAACAAAAAAATAAGAAGGAAGAAAAAAACGAAACAAATATAATGTGTACCGTGTACACTAATCTCTGCGTTATGTGTGGCGCATCGATAATCATGAACATTCCAAACGGCAACTCAACATGCTCGATGGACTTAGGTAATGTTGTTGCCGCTTCTGCTGCTATCTCTTATTGGTGCGATTGTATGCGTACCGTTTGGCCATTTCGGTGTTTTCCTTTTTCTGTGCTCTGTGAACAATTCAGAGAGAGAGAGAGAGGGAAAAAGAGAAAGAGACAGAAAAAGAGCGAAAGACATTTATGTATATCGGTTCCGATTCTTTCACGAATTGTTGAAAGACACTAACCATTCGCATACCATTCGTAAAAGGGAAAAAAAATGTAATCCAAGCTAGAACAGAGAGATAGAGAAAAATCATCCGCATAAAAAACAACAAAAACAACAACAACAACACCAACTTTACATATTTATAAAGATCTAATTTTCGTTCCGTTTTCGTGCTCACTCTATTATGTCGCTTTGAGTTTGTTGTTTGTTTCTAAATAAACGTCTTTCTAACCGATCAATATATATACATATAAAACGAATAACGATCTCTTTCGATCTTTTAAACCAGGCAAATCATTCGATTTCACTTGCTATCGAAGTTCCAACGGCTGCTGCTGCTATTCGTTGTTGTTGTTGGTGCTGCTGTTGTTGCTGGAGAACACACACGCACACACACGTTTCTATTTCTCTCTTTCCACAGGCATTCAAACAGAGAGTGCCGTTTGCTGGGTGTTGTTGCTATGTTTGGCGCTACATTGCTTTTGTAGTCGTCGTCGTCGTCTTCGAACGTTTTTCTCTCTCTCTTTGTGTGTGATAAAACTCAAGTTATAATATTTGATGATGTTTGTCTGTGCCTTCGTCGTTGTTGCTGCCGCCGCCGCTTCTGTTGTCTGTTAACAAAACTCATTTAGTTGGTTTTTCGGATTTAGTTTGTCTTGGACCTTAAAACGTATCGCATATCGTGTTTAAACAGCAATACACATTCAGAGCTCTCTTGTGTAGTTAGTTATATAGCTCTTGCTTCTTGTTTTAAAAGCAAGCTCATTTCTTCATCATCGAACAACAATTCTTATTGAACAACATTGTTGATCATTCCTCATTGCCATCACGGCAATTGCAGCATCCAATCAAATAGAAACAATCGAATGCAAAAAACAAAAACAAAAAAAAAAACGAACAAAATTATCAACATTATTATACCGAGTAGTAACGTCGCGCGCAATAGCCCGAATGCATTTAAAATAATAAACACCGTGAATGTGCTCAATCAAGAACGATCATCGAAACGTATAACATGTATCGTGCGTGTCACACTCAACTCACAATAAACATCATTTAATTTCATCCAATTAATTAGTCGGTTCGGTTAAAGTGCGCTTAATCTAGGAAATCATTAACAATCGTTGACAGTTTGTTGCCATCTGCATGTGTGTGAGTGAATGTCTTATTTGTGTCCGACGCTCAATTCCATCAAACAAACGACGACTTTGAAAATACACGAAAAAAAATAGTAGCAATTGTAACTGGTGATAGTTTTTATATAGTTGATTAACAATTAATGCGTAGCAAACGCAACTACTCTTAAAGTGGATTTCATTTGAACGGATACCAAATTAAAGCGACAATCAATTGAAATAAAAAAAAAACCATTTGGAATTCATTCAAAAAGTTTTATTGCATTTGTGCGAATCGGTGAATTGATACAATCACACACACAGAGTGAGAGAGAGGGAGAGAGATAGACTGAAATCGAAAGGGTAAACGACGGTTTGAAGTGTGTGATGCGAAAAAATGTTTGGACATTCCACTGAATTGTGCATCGTGATATTGTTGTTGATAACATTGAATTCACTGTGCGATGTATATGGCAGTTTATCAGGATTTTATATCGACAATGGTGTAGATCAAACGGTCATGCATCGGGCATTAACACAAGACGATGCACAGGAAGTTGAACATGAAATACTCGAATTACTTGGATTACCGGAACGGCCGCGAAAAAAACACAGCATTCATCCATCATTGCGGTAAGTATCTCTCTGGTCAAAATCCACTGAGCGCGAGATAAAAAAAAAAACACGAACCCGAAAATGTGTGATGTGATAAGACGGTCAAAATCAAAATAAAAAAATATGTCAATAGAGCAGCCGGAGTGTGTGTGTGTGTATGGATACAATGAATACACAAGCAAGGAATATCAAAATACATTTGTGTGCCAAAGTGAGTGGATTAAAATGTGAAAATTATGCTAATCGTTAAAGAATACACGCAAAAACGGCTCACAACACATAAATGTCACACAAAATGCGATTATACGCAATAGCAAAATCAGCGCCATATTGTCTCTCGTTCGTCGTCGATTTCAACGTAATATATCTATATAACAAAAAAAAATCTGTCGTTCGTTCATTCTCTTCAGATTTCCAGTTTTTTCCATATTTAAACGGGTGGACCTTTAAAAATGTGATCACTTTGTGGTTAACACGCACACACAAGAAGAGAGAGATATTCATGCGCGCACGTAATAATGCACACACAAAACAACAAAAAATGCATCAAATGGTGTGTGGCTCTCTCTCTCATCGCATCTTGTTTTCATTTTCTCTTGAAATTTATCACCTTTCTGCCCATAAACTCACTTTAAATGGACAACATGCGGGAGCATTTGCTCAGTAAATCATAATAAAACGCTAAAATGTAATAAGTTTTAATGGTTATTGCATTTTTGTGTAAAACATTCTTTGCGTCTAATAAATGTGCACGAAGAGATAAACAAATCAATCGCACTAAATGTCGCGCAGTACCACGTTGAGATTGAGAAGAGTGTGTTTGCTTTATTTTGTGTGTGGTATTGGATGTTTTTGTTGTTAGTATTGTTGCTGCTGCTGTGTTTTCAGCTAGTGAGCGCTCTAATCTCAATCTCTTTTATTCACTCACTCGCACTTCGTTCACGGTTTTTGTTTTGGCCGTCTCTTTGTCTATGTATCTATCGCACTACACCATTTTTTTATTGTATTTCATTGATCGTTTCAAGGCAAATATCTTTCAATCTGCTAATGTATGCGACAACAATTTATGTCAATAAAAAGTGTCAGCGCAAGCAAACTGCAATTGCTCAATATATATAAATATAATGCGTTGTGCATGATTTCCAGGAAATTTAGGCGATTTCAATACTATATGTCATTTTCAATGGTATTTGCTCTTTTAGAATTGCTCAATTTAGACTTTTTGGGTTTTTCCACAATAAACCTGACTCTTTTTTTTCAATAAAACGCAACGCAACTCTAATTCGATTGCTTAAGAATTTTGATTTTTACAACTTGTTTATTGCTACATTTTCTGTGATTTTCGTTTCTATTCTCATGTTGGTGGTACTATTTCTTTTTTCATTTGAATGAATAGGAAATCTGCACCGAAATTTCTGCTCGATGTGTACAAAAATTTGAATGAAGAAGCTAACGAAAATACAAACGGTGGCCGACTTAGAAGAAGTACCGACTCTGACGAAGGTGAAAACTTTATAACCGATGTTGACAAGGCAGCCATCAAAGAGAGTGACATTATAACAACATTTCTAAATAAAAGTAAGTTATTTCAAATATCAACAAATTGACAAACAAATTACAACAGCTTTTTTACAATATGTACACATTTTTCGATGAAATAATGTTGATTTAATTAAAAAATGAAATTCAATTGAAAATGAAACGTTTAATATATTTTTCATTTCTTCAATTTGTAGAAAATCATATAACCGAAGTGAGGCATGAGCGTGGCCGAAAATTATGGTTTGATGTGAGCGGAGTGTCAAAGGATTCGACTCTGATGATGGCTGAATTGCGAATTTTTCAAAATCCAGCATTGGGACGATGGCAAGATATCAATAAAGAATTTATTATAACGGTGTATTTCGTAAACGATACGGAAAAGTAAGAGCAATTTCATTAATTTTCGACACAAAATTTTGTTGTTGCATCAATTAAAATGTAATTATATTCAAAAAAATAGTGACAGAGACATGCAGGCGATTGTATCGACGAATACCACATCGGACTATCACGGATGGTTGGAATTGAATGTGACTGATGCGATGACAAAATGGATTTTGAACGGTGACAACAATAAAGGTTTATATGTTGGTGCATATGCGGTAAATCGGCCCGACCACGAAGTGAAATTGGATGAAATTGGTTTGGTAAATACAAAAGGTGACGACGAATATCAACCATTTATGACTGGTTATTTCAAGGGGCAAAATTTCGTAAAGCCCGTCACACATCTGAGTGGATCACATTTGAATCGTCTCAAACGGAGCACAATGCATCGTCGCCGCAAATCGGATATGGTAAATCCATTGCTTGAGCAACGAGCAAATGACCACACGAAAAGTTGTCAAATTCAACAATTATATGTCAGTTTTAAGGATTTGAAATGGCAAGATTGGATTATTGCTCCCGATGGTTATGGTGCCTACTATTGCAGCGGTGAATGTAATTTTCCATTGACGGCACACATGAATGCAACCAATCATGCCATCGTTCAAACGTTGGTGCATTTGATGCAACCGGCCAAAGTGCCGAAACCATGCTGTGCACCCGTTCGTCTTGCTCCAATATCTGTCCTCTACTATTTGGATGAAACCAACGTAAATTTGAAAAAATATAAGAATATGGTTGTAAAATCGTGCGGCTGTCATTGAAAACAAAATCATAACCGTTTTGATTTGACTGAATTGACACACAGTGACAATAGCATTTTTATTCGAAACAAAAGAGATAAAAGTGTTTATTGGCATACGAAAAGAAAATGCAGCTCGGTTTGTTCGCTCATCGAATCGAATATATATTAATGTTTTTTTTTTGTATATAGAAACTACGGACCATTCTCAAGTTGTCTCAGAAAATTAATTATCCATTTAGATTTTAAGGTTTTTTTCCTCTCACTCTCTTTCTCGGTTAAAGAATGACATGATATCGTAATTTTGTGCGCAAAATCACGAAATATCACAATTGCAAGAGCGCTTCGATTCGATTTCTTATTTTTTTCATTTTCTTCTGACTTTAATGTGCGAATTTGCACGTGAAAACAACAACTAAATTTTCGCATAACATAGTTTAGGCAATAATAACGTACTATTAGAATGACTCAATTAAATTATATATGTTGTAGTTTTGCATCTGGCTATGTGTATGAACTTCAATTCCCTTTTTTTATATTGAATAAAATTTATATGAAATGGTAAAATGCCGTGTTTCACTTTGTAATCTATCTGCTGGTAAAATGACTGATATAATCGGCTTTTGAACGTTTTCGATTCATTTCAGAGGAAATCGTGTGTAATCTCAATTTAAATGCCACCATACGGAAAACACACAATTTTGAAAGGGTTGTGTTTGCATCGAGCTGAATACATAGATATTGATAAATATCGTCAATGTTGCGTAGAATATTTCGCAATATGAATACAGACAATATATTGGTCAGTTGAGCTGACAGTACGTTAGCCAGCTAAATGGACTAAAACAATAGAAGTTAGAACAATTACTTCTATTAAAACAAGAGAGGTGATTCATCATTAAAACAATAACGTCTATGGTTTTAGCCCATTTAGCTGAGTAACGTACTGTTAGCTCAACTGACCAGTTAGTTCAATATATTGTCTGTATGAATATGACTGAAATCTCTGCTTGACTGAGATGTTTTTTTTCCTACACACATATCTCGTATTGCATGTATCACTCATTTTCGATGTATATTTGGAAAACGGATAATATATAAATATATGTGTCGTATAACTTTTGCAAACGATTTTCATACCTCTGATGAATAACATGTGGGCTTGGGCACTCTTCTGTATAATTATTCTCGTTGTGATTCAGGTAATTTCGTTGAATATATTCTGAAATTTTCAATATTAACCAAATAATGCATAGCAGTTCGACTATTATACGGTGAAAATTCACTTTATATTCATAGCTTACCAGCGCTAGACCAACATGTTGTGGCGGTGGATGCTGTGCAAAATGCAGCTGAATGCAGACTGGAAACGAAAAAGTGATTCAGCTATTTATTTTTCAAATAAAAACCATTGAATCACATTCATTGAAACTAATTTAATGATGTGAAAATAAATTCATTGCTGCGCAAATCAATTTTTATTTATTTATTTATTTCACCGTCTGATCACAGACTGAATGTATAGCAATTATTTTACAATATCATTTGCAATGTAACACTACCCGATCGAATACCCAGTCGCCAGCCTTTTCGACTTCGGAGCGGCAGATATCGACTGTGTTCATTGTATATAAAATCTCAAACATATTTTTTATGCCCAATTGATTATTTAACGATTATTGAATATTAAATTGTCCAACTTAACAATACTGTTTCTAAAAATATGTCTTGATGCTGATGCCAAAAATTGTTCTTTTACCAAATTAAAATTTCTACAAGCTACATTAAATGGTTGATTATGTGCATAGTCTACATTAAACGCTCCAACCCTAATCAGTTCAGTATTTCTCAAAATTCTTTGGTTTTCATCATATTGCAATCTAGTATATACAATTTTATTTCTTAATGAGCTAGACACTATTTTACCCAAAAGGACATCATAAATAAAAAATATAGAGGCATTTATACGCCGTCTCCAGAGCGATTGAATATTTAAAACATCACACCTAAACTGATACGGTGGTAATACAAAATTTTCATCTCTTTGGTAGATAAATCTTAATGTCCATATCACAAAATCTTTCTGAATTGACTCTATTCTATTGGAGTGTATACGGTGGTATGGTTGCCATACAACACTTGCGTATTCTAACTTTGATCTAACTAGTGCACAATATAACATTTTTGCAGACTCAATCGTGAACTTATTCTTCAATGTGCGTTTGATGAAACCCATTGCCCCATGTGCACTGGCTGTGATCGTATCTATGTGATTGACAAATGTCAGCTTCGTGTCAAATACAACGCCCAGGTCCTTATGTGTGTCGATCCTATCAAATGTATGTTGGCCGTTGTTAATCGAATAATCGTAGTTGACTATGTTTCCACTTTTCGAGTATGTCATAACGAAACATTTCTTCAGGTTTAAATGCAAACTATTTTCAGTACACCAGTCGCTCAATTGATCAATGGCATTCTGAAAAATGATGGCATCAATGGGCGATCGTATGGTACGGATTAATTTTAAATCATCTGCAAATAATAAAACAAGTGCATTTGACACAATTTCAACAATGTCGTTAATAAAAATAATAAAGAGACATGGTCCCAATATACTTCCCGCGGGCACTCCTGATGGTACAGTGAAGGTCCGCGACCTTCTATCACCGATTACAACAAACTGTGTTCGATTTGTCAAGTAGCCATGGAACCATTTAACAATTCTACGGCCAAGTCCAAAACACGCCAGCTTCTGCAGCAATCTCTTGTGGTTAACACGATCGAAGGCTTTTTCGAAGTCGGTGTACAGCACATCCGTTTGGCATTTATTGATCATAGAATCGATCGTGAAATTCACCATCTGCAGCAAGTTCGTCGAAGTAGATCGATTTTTCACGAATCCATGTTGATTGTGGCAGATTTTTGAATTAACAAAAGCATCGATTTTGCCATACATAACAATTTCGAATATTTTGGCTATTGTTGGTATGATAACAATCGGAATTTTATTTTCATTTTAATGAAATAACACTTCAAATAAGGAATTCACATGGCGAATTAATATGTCGTTATGATTTATTTTCGGTAAAAGAAAACTTAGCAAAAGGAGACACTTTTACGAATAAATTGAAAGGTAAAATTCCACAAATGATTGACTCTTTTTATGTTGGATACACATTTTTACAATTATCCAAAAATCCAACGTATACTATGTACTATCAAGCAACTTTATTAAATGGTGGTTGTACTTTTTGCGAATAAATAAATGTCAGTGAAATTGATTATCGCAACTTCGATGTGAAAAACGAATTCAATAATTCCAATAAGCAAACACAAAACATTTTAATTCAATTCCAATGTTCATTGGCTGCTTGTATCCATTTTTGTAGGTATTTTTTTGGTCGTTGTGTTTTGCCAAACGTGTTTAATTTGGAATATGAAATCGATATGCACAATCCATCCGATTTATTTTCGTGTGAAATTGATAATAACTCAATTTAACATCTCTTTTTGCGATATTTTCTCTTTACGTACATAAATAAAGCGAAGCATTTTTCAAACAGACGAGGTCTATAATTTCTACGATCAAAATAAATTGTCATATACTCTTTACAAACGAATTTTATAGCACCAAGAGCTTGGACCGATCTTGATTGTACAAGTAATTTCATTGATTCAAAGAACATTTCAACTCGAATGTGACTGTGGAAATGCATATAAAATTCACAGCCCATCAATGCTAAAGAGTGGGAAGTTGAATGGAAAGTGAAATGTATTAAAACATTAATGAAGTGAAAATAAATGAATTACACAGTGAATCAAATATTCGTATTTAATTTTATGTTATTGTTTCAACTGTGAAAAAATGGGTCCTGATTGAATTGAAGGTCCTGATTCGCTACTTATTGGATTTGTTTGGGTACTCGTTTTTTTATTTGGAAAATCTTATGTAAGTAAGCCGAACAAATCGTATTACCTAGCGTCCAAAGATTCTGATCGCTATGTTGTAAAAAGCGAAAATAATTTAAGCGCTATTTCAGAAAGGTAATTATTTTTTTTTTTCACTTTGTCGATATAGAAAACCAATTCAATGTCCCAATAATCGAACACAAAAGCATTTTAATTTTAATCTAATTGAATATTTATTATTTGTGTTGCTACTTATGTGACGATTTTTTTCCTCATTCATCACATATTGTTATGCTTGGTCATACGTGTTGCATTGATATTGCCTTTCAGATTAATTTACTTTTAACATTTAAAACAACTACAAAAGCTTGCATAATTTATTGAATTGAAAAGGTAAATAAATTGAAAACAGAATTAAATAAAATGAATTGAAGCGAAAAATGCGATGAAAATATAAAAAGTGAATTCATATGACAATATGTGTTCGTCATTATTTAAACAGATGGCTCATGTTCATCGATCTCATCAGATGTTTCGATTGCCATGACGAAAATAATTATCAATAATTCAACGTTTCGATTACAAAAAAAATGACTCAACACGTGCAATTGGAGCGACACATATATTGCACAAGAAAATCGCTTGAAATGTATTGCAAAAATTCCATTCAATTTCTCGCTATTTTTGCTTCTGCCAAACCAAACTGATAAATAAACAACAGTCGGCTTTTAACTCTTTGAAGAATCCAAATAGTTCGAAATTTGTTTTGATGCTGTTGCTGTTTTACGAAAATATTAAAAATTCAAAAATTCATTTCCATTCAAAATTCATGAAATGTTGAGAATATCTCTCTCAACTTGAGAATTCCATTAAAAAAATTGAAAATTTAAATGAATTTCTTTCCTCACTCCTTGGAGGCTGTATTTCAAAACACGTAGTAACTAAGTGTTCAGTTGTGCCAAGTATCATCAGATAAGACGATCCATTTCTGTTTTGCGTTGAATTTTGTATTTCATCACATTTGTCCTGAACGACTGACTCTGTGTAATTGAGATATTTAAACCGATTTGATTTTGAAACGGATTTCTGTATCAACATTTATTTTATTCTGGATGCAACATATCGATATATACGAAATCCGTTCTTGTGAAACGCTCTCCGGCATCGATATTTTTTTTTTAAATTGAACATTCAAACCGAAACAGTCGAGTTGAACACATTTCAATCAATCAAAATGCATTTTCACAAGTTTGTCATTCTGTTGCTGCTCATTATCACACTGGTAAGTTGAAGCACTTTGAACTTGGAATTTCAATTTCGAATTGAACATTTTTGTTGTATTTCAGATAATATGCAAAATTCAGTGTAAATGTGTGCCTGTAGCGGGACTGCACTCGTGGGATATGTGGTATGTAAAATGTTTGAAATTGCATCAATGTTCATTAAGGAAAGATGAATTAGAACGAGAAATTTATGGATATTTTTTTATATTTATAGGTATTTAGATAATGATGACTATAGAACAGCCGAAGTCTGTATACCCGACGAAGAATCAAATGAATCGCTCCAATCTCTATAGTGTGGATATGTGAACAGAATATTCATGTTCATGTGTTTTACGTTTAGCATATCCATATTGTAACTATGTAATGAATAGCATAATAAATAAACTGATATCAATAGTACTGAAAATACGATTCGGTTCGATGTACTGACTATCTAATGTAAAGCGGGTTGAAAATGTAAAGCAACAAGGGACAGTTATAATTAAAAGCCAGCAATTTCATTAAACAGCCATTATTATTTTGATTGCAATAATAACAAAGTTTTGACTCAATAATTTTGCCAAAGAAGCCATTTGCCAAGAGGATTTTGAGGATCGTTTAATTTTCCGCTTAATTTGTTGCACAAGATTTACAAGTTGCAAACGTTTATTATACAATACACTTACATGCAAATAAAAGCAATTCCATAAATTACATGTTGACTATGGTCTAATATTTACTGGTTAAGTCGTTAATTGAAAAATGACTCATTGTTTGTAGTTTTTAGCAATGTCAATATTTTGGTGCCGCCATGACATCAATGAAATATGAAACCATAGCCCCATATATTCATTAAACTATTCTCGATGGATTCGATATGAATGGAAATTTATTTAAAACTTTATTTGAATTGATTCATTGTTGTTTGTTTTTGATACATCATTATGGTTTGTTTGTGCGCAATGCTCGAATGTTCTGTGGAAATTCAATGGTGGAATGATTATTAAGTTTATATTTGACAATATTGATTTCATGAATTGAAATTAATTTACATCAGCTGATAGCAAAAATATGGTTTTTGTGCGTGTGTAGACAACAAAACGCTCACATCTCAATGCAAATAATTTCTCAATTTGAAATACGACGAATCGAATGTTACGCGACGAAAATGAACAAAATGATTCTACAAAATGTGGCAATGATTTCTGCGTACTAAGCTGTGATGCAATGATAATTTTTATTTTATATGCTTACAATTGCAAAATGACGTGGTAATGAAACAGATATAAGCTGAATCTGTTCATACATTTTTAATGCTATGTTATTGCTACAGAAGCTTGCACACAATTTTGTTCACGCTTTGGTTTTACGATGTTATTCATATATTTTCTGTTAACTTCGCATTTATCGGCCATAGTATGAATATTTTTAACTCATTTTTCGTAAGTTGGTTCTACAAAAGAATTTTTTTATTGAATCTGTTATTTTCTTCCATTTTTCGATTCAGATTTGTGCTCCGGTTCCTTGTGGGTTCTTTCTACCACCAGCGTGTTATTCTACGTCCACTTCTGAGTTCGTTGATTCAGAATACGACAGCTACGATACTTTAAGCTCAAGCTCAAGTTCAATTTCCGAATTCTATTATTAATGCTAAGTATATTTTGAATTTTATGTGAAAATCGACGGCGAAAAAAGGTTTCCACTAACCATTTTCACAATTATACACAGATCGTGTCACCAAGCTGAAATGATTTTAAAACATGCAAAGTAATAATCTTTTCAATACATTTTTTTTTTGTCTCAACTCAATATAAAGTGGTCAGCATAGATAATTAGCAGCATTTTATTTCGTGAAACGTTAATTTTATTTTCTCGCACGAAAATATTACAATAAGTTAAATTAATTGATTGAATTTCAAATGATGTCCAGTTGTATGCACATGGCAAAATATTCACTTGTAAATGTAAATAAAAATTGTGCAAATTGTGCAAAAGTTCATAGGTATTACATACGTCTAACGTATGGATAAATCAAATTATTGTCAAGTGTTTCCGTGTGTTCAATATGACTTTTTATAAATGCCGAAGTTTTTCTTGTTCTAAGATTTTTCATTTTCCGAACCACACGTCGAACTTTCTGACGATTTTCTGATACTTTTATATAGTTGCTGAACGGTCGAATTGTTAGAAAATAAAAAATTTCAATGAAAGAGAATAAACTGAAATAATTGAAAAGCAACCATCGTAAGTGTTTCTGTAATAGCATGTGATTTTTGCAACACAAATTACCTAAATCCCATGAACAGTCCAAGTAAACCACCGGTATTTGACAAGAATTCCGTGAATCCTATTAACTCGTCTTTTCTTTGACTTCGAAAATAGTTATTCTTAAAGAAAATATGCATAACTGATACATTTGGACCCAAAAGTCCTTGTTTGGCCAGCAGCGGAGCCTGAGGCAATAGTGGTGCCATTGATATTTCAGAATCATATGTCACTTCAAAACAACTGGGTAAACAATCACACAACAGTTCGGTATTATTATGCTCTTGAATTTGGAGGGTAGTTTTTTCAATGCAAGCTTCATCAGAACGACCACAAATTGTAATATCATCTTTGAATCTAGGCATGTAATAGAGTATACAGTTACATTGTCTCAAATAGATTTTTGCGTTACACTCCATTTGACAATTCTACAAATATGTATTGTAAATTTGTATAATTGATCTAAATCAAAAAAAAAATTATTTTGATTAGTACTCACGCCACGTGTATATGTCCTAAAAAATAATCAATTATTATTAGAATTTAAAACAAATGGAGAAGCCAAAAAACGAATTATACCTATAATATAATAGAAAATTTTCTTCTTCAAACAAACATTGTCTGACTTTAACGTCCATTTTACGTATTTTTTTAGTTGCTTCCGATAAAGTTGGTGTGATAATAACGCGACTTTCATAACCGTTCGAAACTGAAGTTCCGTAAGTGGATATCATTGGCACCTCATTTGGACTATGTAGCAAAAATTTGAATCCGTAACTATTTGTACTACTACAATAGTATTCGGCAATGCCCGCATCTAAAATAATGCTCAACCCCAAGTTAGTGCCAGTGCCTATACAAATATAAAGATTTCATTCACTTTTCAATGGTATTTTTTTAACATTTAAACGAATATAAACCGGCAACTGGTCGTGGATATCCAAGTTTATTGTTTTTTAACTCTTCCGATCCGAAACCTTTTTCGGCTGACCAATTATTTGCGTATGCTTCCAATGTGGCACTTATATTGAATTCGTGCGACTCACTTTAAAATTAAATTAAATACAGAATTAGTGGTGTGTAAGCATAGTAAGTATTATTGGTTGAAAGTAGAGAACTTATTATGGAAATTTGCCGACTTGTATTTGGGTTGAGCGATGAATTTTTTATTCAATCCGTTGAACGTACAACAAAGCCCTTCATCGGTGAGCACCGTCAAAAATATATCGGTACAATTGTATGTGATTCCACCGTAAATGCATTTGATTAACATATCTTGACATGATTGAGACACCTGATGTATAAAGAATCTTCTAACTGCTTCAATTTTATGTTCACTTCATCAAATCACTTACCAATACCACTAACTTTTGGAAAGCGGCCCATTTTCCCTCTTTGGAATTTGTAACATTTGTATCAACTGCATCCGTACACAAACTTTGAGTCATTGAATAATCTTCACTATCCTTTGGAATTGTTTCAACTACTGATTTCACTGCCTGATTCATATTACAGATTGTAACGGCTGCAATCACCATTTTGCAAATGATAATAGCGAAAAAATCAACAAAACCAATAAATAATTATTTAAGAATTGAATTTACCTGGAAACGGTAATTCTCTAATGTCTGTTGACATTGAACTCAACGATATAATCATTGGTGACGCAGAGTACTTTATCCAAACATTGGATATAAAGAAGACCGAAAGAAAAAACACCAACAGAAACATCAATCCAAAAAAAGTGCTGGATAGAAAAATGGTTGGCTAAATTAAGATTCAATTGAATTTATGTGTTTTTGTACTTCGAAAATAGAATTCAAATTTACCGTTCGAAATATGTGATATTTCTATCGCCCACATATTTTAATCCATGCAATGTACAATTCAAAAGAAATTGCCGAAAACTTTCCCGACACGTATTTGTGCAAGTTGTATTTCCATAACTTTCAATTCTACGCAATTTTGGCTTTCCGGGACGAATCGCACTGACCTGAACTCGAGGACTCGGATAAAACATTTCGATGTACTTCTCACTCAAGTTCTAACCACCGAATTGGTTTCGTGCACGTTCAACTTGTCTTTTTTATAGAAATGTTGAAAGTCAATTAATTCAAAGCCAATGGTTGAGTATTTTCAATGTTTTTCCACCCTAATTGTCTTTTTTATCAGCATTTCAGTCACCCCGAAATCGTAATTTTATATTTGGTGCAAACAAATTTCTATACGCGATATTTTCATGATATATTTCCGTTGATATAAATTTTCGGAGTTTAATTTTATCCAATTTATTTGCAAAAATTTTACGGATTTGAGGCAGCATACTTTGAACGTCGTATGAACAGCTAAATGAATGTCTGTGAATGTTGTCTAGTCAAAAATAATTTCTGAACGACTAATTAAATGACTATAGCTTTGATTAATGACGCTACTATTTCTATTAAAACCCTGAAGTGTGAATGGTTTCAAGAAGAGTCTACTTAATTATTTTTCCTTTTCAGGTAAGACGACGAAAAGTTTATAAAAAGTACCTACAGTAGCAAATGGTGTCTTTTAATCACTGAACAAGAATTCAATATTATTGAATCAATATGGGAGTGATTCATCGAGAATACGATGACAATTAATAAACCAAGTAAAAAAATCGAGCTAATTGTATGTTTATTCCATTACTGTAAATCTATAATGCAATATTCGACACACGTCAGTCGATTTAAAAGATACGATTGAAATCCATGTTCCGCATGGAAACAATGGATTTTACAATTTTACGCGAGCGTATTACAACAAAATTCATCGATACCATACCAATACAATTTCAACTCTGACTTTGAAGTTGTAAAACTAAGACCTTATATCCACTTGACAACAAAACAAAATGTTGCAATTATTTCCAGTTTTCATTCGTTACACTGCTAGAAAATGAATTGGTTTTTCCACTGGTGACATTGTAATCAAAATGCATTTTTGAGTGGTTTATTTGCGTGCCAAATAAATCGCGTGTATTAAATAACTTCGACAAACGAAATTAATATCAATCAGTTTGAATAATGAATGAATGTCCAGATTTTACTGTACCAACAAATTATGCGCTTTATTTACAGTAAACTACAAAATATCACCACTTTAAGTTTGCGGTGCTAGTTCATTTCCCAAAAAGTAATTGTCATTTTGGACAAAAAAAATGAAACTTCAAAAGAAGCTTGAATGCATTGTAATTCAGTTGTGGTACATTCCATATGTTCGATATTGCTAAACCATTTTAATCATGTCCAGCGTCAATTTTGAATGAAGTTCGTTTATAAATTCAAAATTTCAATGCTTACTGATTTTTATCTTATTCAAATGAGTAAAAAGAAATATGCTGATTCTAGTTGCCATGTATATAAACAGAACATTTTTATTCTTACAACAATATATTTGAAACAAACTTATTCAAACAATATATTTCAAATAAAATCAAGATGCGGTATGCTATTATTTATTTCACTAAATGTAACAAGATTATGATTATCTGGAGAATAAATTTCAATTTGAGTTAGAGTCTACTTGGTCAGTAGTTCTTCAAGCTTGATTTTTGTATCATTCGAACAATTGAAGAAAAACTGAATAAAATTAAAATATTTTAAACGCATGGCCACTAAAACTTTCGCAACGACATCATAATGAAACATGTGTCTAAAAACTTCTTTCAAAACTTGTTTGATTCAAATTTAATTTAACTGTTTTAATAATAAAATGCAAAAGCTTTTGAATTCAAATGTCCACATGGTTTTATTTGGTTTTTATGGTGAACATACTCTTCCGAGAAAGATAATTAAATAATACTGTAACCATTTTCTGCATAACCACAAAATATGGAATTCATTTTGTTTGCGTCATGAATGGTGTTATTTTGGTTTGTTCTCGCAAATGATGCATTTGTGCATTTATAGCACATAAAAATGTTGCCAATAATTTTCAAGGAAACAGCACCCTCTCAAAAATGAAATAATCCAAGCGCAGCGCATATAAAAAAAATATAGGTTAAAAACCATTTTACATTAAATCATGCGACAATGCTGACAGTTTTGTTTGATTGTCAGCAATTGAAAAATGACGTTATTTTTTAACACATAAAAAGCGCATTAAAGCCGTCATTCAGCATATTTTGTTGAATTATATTTCGACGAAAAGTTTTGCGTCGTTTATATTTCTTCCATTTCTTTGGAATTCCATTGGAATCTTTTGTAGGTTTTGTAATCGTTCTTCTGTTTTCTAGTTCAAGAAATGTACTCAGTCAAGTTATCATTGTCTAATGTTCGTTTGATTTAAGGTATTTAAAATCTGCAAATTCAAGAATGATGTTCAAGAATGATGACTCATTAAAATGGTAGAAATTATATGTAAACAACGGAAAGTTCCAACACAGTAAAATTGAGCTCATTGACATATAAACATTGCATTTTGTCCTATATATAGTATGTTTTGGTTTATATTTATCCCATATAGCATCTGGTATTGTGATACATGATGAAATCAACTCTCATATAAAGCGACGGGATTCTTCGCTTTTTTTAAAACTGCATCGGGGTTTCAAATGTTTACGGTCAGTCGTATTTAGCTTATCAAAAGAAAAACGTCTGTATAGTGTCATATCAAAAGATATATAAAAAGTCGGAGAAATGTGGATGAAAGTGATTTCTTTGCTATCAATAATAATGGTATAACGTCAACGAAGTAACAAAAATGAATTTTAATTTTTACACTTTTCATTTCAAACAGTATGTTTATTCAGTGGCAGCAGCACCGATGTATGTACCGTATTCACAACAGCCGCCGTACGCTGGATGTGGTGTAAGCGATGGAGCCTCTGATTCATCATCATCATACCCGAGTTTCGAATACGATTATTGCTGACAACTTCAATCATCGAATATTAATCATATTTGCTTGTGCACTGTAATTGAATTTATTGTAACTTGTTGACTTAATAAATTGTGTTTTAAATTCTCATCAAAATACTCATGTAATATTAGATTGGGTTCGTTTGGGCTATTATATATTCAATTTAGCATGAAATCGAAGTAAACGAGAGGTAATTAATTATAATGATATGCTTCGTTGCAAGCGCAACGAAATTTTCTATTTGAAAATTAACAAAATTGGCCTCCCTTCGTAGTACGAATACGTATCATCTCTCAATTAAATGACCGCTCTTGACATTGGCCAAAAATGTGAACGCTCCAGACTGTCAACTCTCGAGAGAGCACCATAAACAAAAACATTTTTCATATTGATTTATATTTTGATGCAGCTGTTTAAAGCGTTTGTAAATGTTTAACAGAGTTTGACGAAACGTTTTGCGAGTTTGGTGTGCGTTGTGTACGTGTTGATTTCTTAAATCTTCTGCAAAAACAAATTCAGACACGTGAACAAACAGAACAAAATACGACATAAAAGCGATGAAATGTGTCTTCCGTCGTGCAGTAAAGCATCTTAATTGTAACTGAAATTAAGCGCATATTTCACAATTTTGTTTTCATTTTACTGTGTCGCGTGTCATCACAAATACCTTATGTCGAGCAGAATGATGGTGATATTGACGATGCTCTTCTTTTTACAGGTAAGCAGATTTTGCAGCTTAATAATTTAGCTGATAAAAGAATTTTGTTCGACTCTCAATATTTTCTTTTAAATATTTTCTCACAAGTCATTCGCCACAATTTGGACTGCACCAGTAGCAGATATTTTTTTTCCCGAATCACCACCACCACCGCCACCACCAATGCTGCTACCACCACCAATACCATTCAGTTTTCCTCAGTTTCAACCATTTCCACCGTTTCCACCATTTCCACCGATTGCATCGCCATTCAATGAACCCAGTCCAACTGTGGAGTCTGAACAAAATTTCTCCGTTTTCGATTCAGGGTACCAATCCGATTTTGAACGTGAAACAATTTATTGAGGCACTTTGGCATTACACAATAATTTATTTGTTTTATAGTATTGTAAAAACAAAATAAAAAAAAACGCAGAAGAAATGTGTAACAAAATAATTCTGTTAAATACTTTGATAAGAATTTGTTATTGCGAAGAATTTTTATTTCGACTTTTATAAACATTCGACGAAGAATTTGACAGATCGAAAAAAGTAATAACCGTTTTATATTGTTTCGTATTGTGATTTCGATTTTACGGCGAAGGTTTGTCAATGGACTGTATAATGATGCATCTTATCAATGCCTTACGAATCGTTTTCTCAAACAAATTTTTACCTTATAAGACTGACTTGGAATACCTATCTCTTACTTTGTTCTAACAAAATGCAAACATTGTCAATGCCAAAATTGGCATCATCTTTATCAGTAGGTAGTGAAGTAGTACTTGAAGGTATATTTTCGAAAAAGGAAGCGCACACATTTTTGTCGTCCCAACCAGATGTGCAGACGTAAACATGATTTTGCGATATGACGCCCACAACAACAAAAAAAATCGATTCTTCTTTATGACACTCATCATCATCATGATGATAGATGGAATGTGTGTCCAAAATCAAGTGATACGCAAGCAAAATTTTTGGACAATTCATCCCTCTGCCATTGAGCATGTTTTTCTTGACTCTTCAACATTTAACATTTAATGGTGAACATTGACATGGAATGTGCGCTCTTCAATCGGATAAACATATAATTGAATGGCACATGATGAACATTTTGTTAAAGTTACCAAACTAAATATTTTTTCCAGCTATAAATAACTGAGAATATATCACAATCGTTCGTTCAATTATCCCCATTCAATAAATAGGCATTATAGCCGCTCACAAAACTTTTTCAACCAATTAAAATCAATGAATCCTATTTTGTCGAAAAGCATAAACAAATTAATTTGTATAAATAGCACGTTCGCGCTCCCACTCAAAATAAAAAAATCATTCGGTTGGATATTTTGGTGCGGAAACTTTTGACTGAACTCGGTGAAATGCAACTGTGATAAACCACTTTTGTTCACCGACTCGTGCACACTATCGAGTATATTTTCAACCACAATCGAAGCGGAACTATTTCCGGGGTGTGTTAAACAGAGTTCCGTTGTGACGTAAAAGAGGCCTTGTGTTTTGTTTCGCTTTTTTTTTAATATACACGCTTGTAGCAATCATAAAAACGAGGGATTGTAGTAAATGTGTGGCCTTAACACATCAAAACGTATGTCTTTTTGGATTTGGTAATAAGATGTCAAACAAGCGTGTAAGCATTATGTTACATCATGAAAATGACTACAACAATATTTCAAATTATCACTTTATTGCAACATGTATCGACTTATATTTGTTGCTTTCCCACAATTCATGCGAGTGTGTGTGTGTGTGCTTATCCTGTGTGCAATGCAATACACAGCAGGAAATAATATAAATAATGTCTGTTACTCGATTGATGACCTTTGAATGAAAGTCTATATTGTATAAATGTGATATGAAATCTGTTGAAAGCAAGCAGTACAAAATCGAATGTCACGCACCAAGCCACACTTGAATTGCCCCGCCATTCCAGTCGAAAAGCTTGTAATCTCATCTCTCTGTTTTATCGTCGTCTGCTCTGTTTAAGTTCATCCATTTTTATCATTCGCGTTCTGTTATCATTCTTGTGCAAAGCGGAGAAAATGTGTGAAAAGCAGCGAAAAAAAAAATAACAATATAAAGATTTTCCAGTGTTGCTTGAGACACACAGATAAGCTCTTCAATTCAGTTTAAACATTTCCATGCGAAGCTTTTGATGCTATTGTGTGAATTGGAAAGTGCGTACCGCGCGTGACACAATAAATGCTTCTTTATTCTTTATCATTCTCCAGGTTTGGTTCGCATGTTATCACTCTCCAGCTTCTCCCGACCTGTTTGCTCGCACGAAGCAGCAACAGTCGTACAACAGCAGTATCGCACAGCAGCTTGCCAACCGAAACAATTTGTGTTTCAGTCAGGACCGAGCATTTGTGCCAATAGCAATTCCAGCCAATAGGCTCATCCATTTGCGTTCGTGTTTTCATCTGATTTCTAAATTTCGTTCCTGGGTGACTGTTGCACGCACCAAAAAAAGAGAAATATCTACGAAGGAAAAAAAAATCTTCACTCTTTTCATTTCGATTCAGCCATTTGAAAAGTTTTCTGTTGGTTCATATAGAGTGAGATTTAAATTTGAATCGAAAAAAATAGGCTTAATTTGTAACGAAGTTCAGTTGATAAAGGGATTGATTCGAAGTGATTTTGGTATCTTTTGTTTGAAAATCACTCTATCTATTCAATAGTTGCAAATTGATTCTTGTCATCAAGTGAAGCACGTCTATCCAATCTATGTGTCTGGTGCGTGGTGGCTAGAGAAAAAAAAAGACAAACGGAGATTGAAAAGCTCTTATGAGGTTTCATCAGTGAATATACAATCAATTTCGTTAATTAATTTGCATCCGCACACAGACTGATTGTGTACTCGCAGAAAATACAAAAAAGATAATTGCATCATTCGATTTCCTGTTCATTGGTTAAAGACAATTAGATTTATATATTTTCGCGTTGTATCTCTGCTGCTTCTGCAAAATTTCGAAAAATTTAAAACGCTGATAGCAAAAAAAAAAGACAGACACAAACCAAACGACTCCATCGAACGAAAAATTCGAAATAAACGAGAATACAAATCACAAATTAAACAACCATTTATTACAAAAAAAGAACGATGGTCGTAATTGTACAAGTGGCAAATGTCTCTCTATAGTGGAATGACAAGTGAAGCAACAAGCTGTGTCGTCGACGATACCATATAATGGAACAGATTTCAACAGAACAAACATTGAGACGAAAAAAACCAATGTAAAAGAGAAAAAAAGGAACCGTTGTGTACAAAATCATTTCTTGAAATCTTGAAAATATAGGACACACAAAAACGAAAGAAAACATACACCAATTTGACGGAGAAAATATAGATACAAAAAAAAACCGTGAACAAAAAAGAATTGATAAAAAACAGCGAGTGAGTGTGAGGAAACAAAAGAAAAATATAGAAAAACGCGAATATCTGTTTATTGATTTCGGCCAAAAAAGAAATATTATTCATATGAGGCTTAGATGGTGCCTGTTGCTTTTGCCTACATTGAACATAGAAAATTTAAAACAGAAACAAGTATCATAATTTCTCCTGAGCAACATCTTTATGAATTTATGTGATTTTTTTATTAAAAAAGACGTGTATTTGTATGAGGTGCAATTCAATTTTCATCCTTGAAGTCGCGTAGCAGCATCATCAATATTTTTTTTTGGATTTAGTCAAAAAGTTCGTCAGGCCAAGCCAAACAACCGAAAATAAGCACCTTTTTTTTTGAAAAGGGTAAGTAATATTTGTGTACGCAATATCTAAGGAAGAAGTCATAAAAGAGGGCGAGAAAAAAAAATGAGTGGTGGTCGACACAACGGGCGATGATTCATTCATCGGAGTTGAAAGAGAAAAAGTTAAATAAATTTCAAGCAAAAATCAAATTATGGTTATAAATGCAAAGCAAAACTGAAAATGAAAATGCTTGCCATGAATTCGTGACAAATGGTGCGCCTCTTCACAATCCATTACATTGATTTCATTTAAAATGTAAATTCGATTGAAGGCTCTGACGCAATACAGATATATATTTTGGTTCAGTTGGTGTATTTTGTCGTTATTAGTGTATCCATGTTTTTTTTTTTTATTTCTACATCGTTATTCTTGTATATACGTATGTATATCTGCCAGCGACAATTTTATTTAATTGTGGAGCAGAACAAATGTGTATTGAGGCGACAGTGTGATGAATATTTGTATAAAAAGAGAACACATTTTGTGCGAGTAATTTGACATTGTAGTAGAAAAATGAGAGAAAACGAAGCGAAAAAAAGCAGCGGACTGATTGCGTTGTAACATTAGATGACTCAAATTGGTTAAGCTTGACTAAATCTGAATATAAAAAAGCACTGAACTTTGCTGTTCGAACGGTTCATTTTATTCGGGGTTCTTTTGAAAATGGAAGCATTAAGTGAATTCCAACATGAAAACAATCAAATTAATCGAATTATGTTGACCTCGCGCGAGCTCAATAAAATGCAGTACCGTGGTAAATAAGTGTAAAATTGACGCTCTTCGTTTTTGCTTTTTTCGTGTCGCAAACGGCACTATTATCGTTTCATTTGTCAACACACTATGAATAACGGTATTAAGAAAATCTAACTGGTTTTGGGGTTCGCGTGTTTTCTTTTTCGTTGTTGCATGTACGATTCGCTTAAACACAGTCGACATCCGCCAGTAACAGCCAAAAGCAGCAATGGCTTCACATCGTCATCGGAAACAACAACAACAGTGTTTGCATCAAGTCTAACTTGGAAGGAAAAACGATAAGAATTTGAAAATTGGCATTTCAATTTAATCGGAAATTGAATTCTTTACGCTTTTTACATTGCATTCGGAAAATCTTAGCAATAACATAGCATAAAATAAAAACAATTTGTACCTGAGAGAATCTGTAGATCGTGGAATATTTCACATATAAATAATACGTATCGTACATAAGCGAGACATTGCTATGAACTAGTGTGTTGCAACAAGCGACAGTGTGTTTATGTATTTGACGCGCGCGGTGCGATTTAATACGCAGATGGGAATTATGTTTACCATCCAGTAAAAAAAAAAAAATCTATACACTGCCATCACACACTCATACCGTACGAATATTACGAGCGCGCGACTACAAACTGTTGTGGAGTTAAATTATGTATACTATATAAAATAAATGCATTTTTATACGGGGGAATGTTAAGTAAGGGAAAAAATCGCGAGAAGCTTATGATATCATACGTTTTTCTTTCTACCCGTTTTTTTCTCGCTTCTCGCGCTAACGCTTTCAATCTCATTCACTCTCACACTGTCATCCCCTTTTTTTTTTCACTTCACTATTTATGTGAGCTTTAAAAAAATGTTTCCCTAAACGCGCTACAATGCTAATAATGTAAATCAATCTCAATTTTGCTTTCGGTTGATGTTCGGAAAATCTCAAAAATCAACAGTGAATCGAATTTGAATGGCTCGAAGCCATTATAAACGCTAATGTCCTGGTGTATTCATGCTGCTAACGCCCTTGTCAGATGCACCGCGTACCGCGTCTCCAATTCCGCTAAATTTTTAATTTAATTTTTGTTTTATTTACTCCATCAAATCGAGATATATGGTGAAAAAGCGTTCAAACACAAAATATGACGGGCATGCCAGTTTCTAAGAGTGACCTTTCTCTCATTTTTTTCCACTGCTTGATCCCGCGCACCCCAATAGTCCAAATCTCTAACCAATCAAACATATTGAAGTGAAATTTCTGTTCAGCCAATTATGGTTGGGCATTACGAGGAACCGAAATTTTTTTTAAACATATAGACACAGTTTATCGAATGGCCCCGCTACTAAAAATAGCCGTTAAAAATTCATTGAACATTCATGGTTGCGAATTTTTATTTTTAATCTCTGTTGTTCTCATTCTCTGTTGCCTTCATCATCAGAATCGCAATGGTTTGGTTTGTGTATTTCATGATTTTTCCACTGACCATGACCCTTCGAGCGATTGGTCCGAATGCCTTCATAAAATGTGTATGCATGCTTGTGGCGGTAGTAGTGGTTCTTTAACGTGTATATACCATGTGCGACGCTTTTACTTCTACCGAAATTGTAATAAATGAGATGATTTTTACGATTATGAGATATTACATTTAAATAATGTGCGATATATTGTCATCGTCGTCACCAACAATTTACTTCAAATACAGTGTACCATTCATTTCTGTCCCTTTGCTATAGATCCCAAAGCAATATTATTAATGTAATCTTTTTAAAAGGAATTGTATGAACGCAGATGTGTTTTTAACATGGCATTCATGTGTTTTCATGATGGTACAGTAAATCCTTCGAAAATTAATAATAATTTTAAATGATAAAATCAGAGAAATGTTCCCTTTAAATCGTTTTTTTTTTTCATCATTTTCACAGATTTCCGCATACATACTCTTTCGTTGGTACGTTTTTCGTCTTTTCAGTTGAAAAGTGACCCATGGATTTTCGGCCAAAATGGTAGCAACAATGATGATACTCATTTAGATCGTCTAACTGAAATATTCACACTTGAAAAATTCAATTTCCGGTGTTGATGATTATTTTCGAGGGATTACTGTACGCATTATTATTTCTATCTCACCGTTATCCATCTAATTTTGGTGTGGCAACTTTTTTTTTCAATTTTCAAAATAAATGCTCTCTTTATCATTTATTTTTTTTCGGTAGATCATTCACTTGTTTCCATTTAAGCGGATGCGACTCTTTATCACGCCCGACTTATTTTTGTTTATAAATGCGTACACATAAAACACACACACTATCTTCGCCTCTTTTTTTCTTTTGGCAAAACCATGAATCGGACGAGAATGAACCAGCCGCCAATACCACATTGCAAAAATGATGAAGAGATAAATGGATAGAGTGTGAGGCGAGGTATTCGAGTGTATATCTATGGCCATTTGGGTGACATATAAAAATGTGTGTTCTTATCCTTTTGTTCATGAATTGAATCTGCTCATCTTATCTCATATAAAATGCATAGTGAAGTAAGAGTTGACTCTTTCACAAACAGCGGATATGGTAATAAAATGAAATAGCGGATAAGTGCTAATACCAAATGACTCTATCCATAAAAGATACACACACCAACGGTGGAAAATGCGATAGGAAAACTGCAGAACAAAAAAAAGAGTGTTTGTTTATTTATGTGTGTGTGTTATTCTGCACAAAACCGAGAGTAAAAATAAAAATTGGATGCCTGGAAGAAGTCAAAAGACTCCTATTTTCATTGGATTGAAGTGAACTGAACTACGTAAACTTTTATGTTTGTATTATTTTCAGTGTGGCGCTTCTTTTCACAGTGCATAAAAAAAATCGTCGTCAACTTTAGTTGGCAGCTATATATTTTTGCCAATTTTCCATGCTCCATAATTTTTTCCTGTGATGTCTGTGTGCACACACACACACACACATACACTAGACCAGTGGTTAATATACATATTTTTATTACGATTTTATTTTCATGGTCTTTTGATGTTTGATTGGATTCATTCTCTTTTATTAATAATGGATTCCTGTGGCTTTTTGATTTGCATTTGATAACTTAAAAAAATATCTACCCGATTACTTCGAAGAGCTTGAATCTCGGATTTTGTGATAGTTGACGAATGAAATATTTTTGAAATTGCTGTTCAGGATAAAAATGAGGCGATTTCAATCAACTGTAACTCTCTTTCTCTCACACTATTTTCGTTCAATCTTTTCGGCAGCAAGCACAAGCTTTTATTGTCGTCTGTTATCGATTTTTGCTTTGCTGGTTTCTTGCCATTGTTGGTGTTTGTGTATTTGATTGAATAAAATTACAGTAAAAGATGTGCATGCAATGAGACGTAATTCATTTACCTTGTCTAATGCACGTTCGTTTTCATTTTGATTTGACACTTTGATCCATTAGATAAAAAATAACGTGAACAAACGAATGCAATCAACGACACCAATGACACTGTTCGTTTTTTTTTTGTTCATTCACTTCATCTTCTCCACAATACGTTGTCATCGTTCTGGAAACATTCTCGCATTCGTATTTGCTTCAATGCTATCAGTTTTGCTGTGTGTTTATGTGTGAGCATCAAACCCAGTGCCATTTTGTCTATTACGAAAGACGAATGAATTCAATTGAATTGAGTGACAATGAAATGAAACCTCTACTCCATTAGCTTTTAATGAATAAAAAGGTGTGCGCAGAATGTTCGCACTGCTATCATTTGAAATCGAAAGGGACTTACAAATGATATCGAGGTCTTAACTCATAACAAATGTAAAGCATTCATTGGTAGTCCGTGAACGTTCAAGAAATACTGTGGGGATAATTTAGTGTTGTTGTTTACGCAATAAGTGCAAGGAGGTGCGAGAAGAGAGACACAAAAAGTATTTACGCTTTTGCTGGCGAAGAGTGTTCAAATGCAGAATCGAAGAATGCTTTCAGTACAAATTAAAAGGCTATTGTTTTATTTTAATATTACATTCATCGGCGATGATGTTCGTAGGCTTCACCTATCGACCGACATGAAAAAACAACCATGCAATAAACAATGCAATGTCGATAAAATAAATTTTAAAGGTTATTCCTTTTAATGACAATATTCATTAATTTTCCGCCGTCGAGCGGCCAAAAATTGTTCAATGGCTTTTAATTTTTTCTCTTGTTTTGCTACGCAAAATGGTTGTTTTCTTCTCTGACAAGCGTCTACGACAGCGAAAAATAGACAACAACGAACGAAATTGTTTTTTTGTGAGCCCTGTGCCCGCTTCCTAATGACGAAAATTCTTCGGCTAATTAAAATGGAATGAATAACATGCGGATAAATAGAAAGCTTCGGGCTTAAGCTTCTTGGAAATAATGTCTGCCTAGTTTTATGAACCAGATTATTCACTTTTGTGTAAATAAACAAATGAATGACGCCCAAGCACAAAAAACGACTAACATGAAGCCATACACACACACAAAAAATACTTTCGCT